GAACTCAAATAAAAAATAATTTACGTGGTAAGGAGTGTCCACCAAGCCTATTCAATACATTGCATCAATGAGAGCTTTGTTATCCTATGTACCCGCAGTCAATATGACGTGTACCGGCCCCTTTATCTCTCCCTCCCTGCATGAGGTATCTCTAGGGTCATAAAGAGAAAGAGGGTAATGATATGGTCTCCCCCAAGGCTTCCGTAACTCGCCACTCGCACGAACAAAAGCCCTCACTGAAGTAGGCATTAGTAACACCATTCTCCATCTCTAACCGAGTATCTAATAGAAGGATCATGAGGAGTAATCTTAAGAGTCCGAGTACTCCCGAGAATAAATCTATCTGGTTTTGGAAAAGCGCTATTGGCGCCATTTGGAGTGAGAACAGTTGCTGCCCCTTACAATGCAGTTTCGGAAAAGACGTTTCTTTCCTTCAATGTTTAGCTTCGCCTTGTCCTTCCTTCTTGTTGCCACTTAGTTCGACTTGGCAAGGTGCATGGGTTCAATAATTCCTGGATGTGCTGTAGCGTATTCCTTTCTCAGTAGCCCCCGGACCAGAACTTTTAGTTTAAAGGTGGTGAACTTTTAAGTGGCAGATTTGGTTGGCTAGTGTCTGGGTATTTCTTACAGAGGGCACAGATATTTACGAGGACCTAAAGAGGTGTTGGTGTTCCCATAATTGCTCATGGTCTCCTTCGTTTGGCTTTTAGAGGGTTCACGTACTCTCACGTGTTCCGATCGGATTCTAGGGTTGGTATGCTGAAGATGATGAGCGGGACTAAAAAAAAGCTGTCAGGAATTATAAACTCTCATCCTCCTCTCTGTCCGGGTCTCTCATGAACAGTTCACCAGCCTGTTAGACAGAGAAAGCTCACAGCGGTAGCGTACCTGCTCTGATATGCCCTTCCCGACGGATCTATCAGCTTCAGATATGACCTAGGTAACGTTTCGCCCTCGATGATTGGTGACTGCCGAGCCCTTTTAGGTCCATCTGCCACATCGTGCGTGTCCACGACTCACCATCACCTCCGCACTGTGACACGTCTGAAAGGATCATTCCTGCGTCCATTCGCCTTTCTATCTCCCCAAAAGCAGAAAACTGCTTCATCATAGGCCCACTCGGATCGACGTCAAGTTTCTTAATTTACTCTCCATTTTTCCTCGTTTTGAAGGGTTCTAACGCATTTTTCTTTGACATAGGGGTTTAGGGTTTAGGGTTTACTGTGAAAACCTACCAAACAAATGGCCAGAGGAAAAAAAAGCAGCATATCAAAATGCACCAGAGCTTCTTTATACCGACCCCCCGTCCTCTAAACAGTCGTTTTTCAAAGTGGAAGCCGGAATTGAATGTTCTTCTCAATTTTCTGCTCCAACAACTGTCCACAGATTTCATCGTCTACAGTGCAGCATCCGACAAAGAAAAATGCCGTAGGCAACAAAAATCCGACATTAAGTCTACAGGATGCCACCATGGTCCATAGCGGAGTGTCAGCAAGGCCCCATTATGGTGGGGTTACGACGTACTGGTTTTGACTGAAGGTTTGATCTTCCGCTGAATCAATGGGTTCCTGGGAAAATTGTTTACGTCGTAAACCATAGCTCCGCATCGATCAAACCTTCAGTCATCAACACCATAGCTCCGCAGCAATTTCTCCCTTCGGAGCTATGTATCGATGGAAATTGCTGCGGGAGCGATGGTGTTGGTGGCATTTTCTAGACCGATGGGACGCATCGGAAATGGAATTGTTTTTTAACTTGACGGATTGATTGAAAGGTTTGAAGCTTTGACCAGCATCTTCCGGTTTGAATCCTGTTCCCTCATGCAAATTTAGGCAGAGATAGAGGGGTTTGCACCAAACGACTGTTCAGTTATTGGCCTTCAACGTCTACAGTGTCACCGCTTGTAGGGGTGCGTTCATGGAGGCAAGGTTCAACTCTCCGTATTGTTCTAGTTTCTGAGCTCCCCTTTTCCTCCAATGAATCAGCCCTTTATCCCCAGTTTCAAGAAACCACCTCCCTTTGGTTTGTCAAACGATGCCGTGCTACCAAATAGAGCATTGAGGGCCCCCAGTTCACGAATGGGAAGAGAGAGAGGGGAGGGTGCTTTGGGTGAGAAATGAACAGTCGCATGAACAGTCGCGTGAGAAAGAATAACCTGTACATCCATCTGGTTTCTCTCCAGTCGCATGATGCGAAAGATAATCTCCAACGGCATCTTCCCAAATGCCAGGAAGAAAACAAAATGGAGTTTGAAGAAATCACGAAGGAACCAACTAATCTCTAGTTATTCCCTAGCACCCGTGTAAAGAATAAAAAGCAGTAGGAAAAGAATAATCCTTTACTCTGCACATATGTTTGATGAAGAGAGAATCTCGGTCAGTTCCTTCGCACACGTGCATGTAAGAGACCATGAATTGATAAGGGTATAATGAACATTACCAAAGAAAATCCTGGGCAAAGGCTGCTGAGGAGCACAGTTGGATCACAAAGAGAACCTACAGCTTAATGACCCACTTATAGTTTACATTTTCGGGTGATTCAATGGGATAACTCTCCGTTAAGAGCAAGGCCAAGAAGTACCGTAACCTCGTTATTTCTCTGCCGAATTCGAGAAATCTACATCACCTCGCTGGAAAGGAGTTCCCAAATCTACAAGCTGAAAATTGTACAGTACTCCGAACGAAGCGGGGAAGGAATCAGATGTGAAATTTCTAATTTGGCTATGATTTAGTGGCCTCCTTTTAAAAAAACATGCTTTATTCGTGACAAATCTTCCTTGACTTCTCAAAAAGTATACAGTGATATTTCGACGCAGGATCCATGTTCTTGGTGCTTACCACCCACCCACTCATTTCCCGTACCTCTTCCTTTCCCCTTCGCAAGTTTAATGCGAAACTTTTGAAATCTCATGGACTTAGTGCATCCCCCGCCGCCGTTGCTGGTGATCTGGTGGTGACGAGTCAGTCGGTCTGTTGCCTTGAAGACGCTTTATTCTGTCCACATCGTTCTCCTTTTGACTAGGCTTCTTCCTATCATGACTTCCTAGAAGAAACTTTTCATTCGAACATCCTTCCCTACGGTTTACACCAAAGTCAGGGGTAAACCTAACCTTAGTTCTCGCCAACTCCGTCTCTGTATGTCCTTCCCGGGGGTTTCTCCAACATTAGGCTTTGACTTCAAGGGATTCGGAGAAGTCAGGTCGCACGTGGGCTCAAGGTTCGAGGAACCGGCTTTCCTATGCGAGTCAAAAATTTTCATGTTCGAAGATGCTGAGACCGTGATCACCATCTTTTTCCTATTTAAGGGAGGAAGTGTCAAGCACCTCAAAAAGTACGCAGAGAGCTGGTTAACCTTTCAGAAGAAGGAGAAACGTGATGGAGAAGTTATAGGTCAGTGTTCGTTAGAACAAATTTCGAAGGCTGTCTTGACTGAAAGAAGGGTTGACCACCCAAACACAGATCGAATCTAAGACGTTCATTGTTTGCCTCTTGCTCTTTTGCTGTGGGCTGGATGGGCAAGAGGAAGATCTCTTATCGGGCTGCGTGTCGGTTCCAACAACGCGACTAACTATATGGGATCTTGTCTGAACTTCTGTTAAGTTGTCTTAGCTCAAGATCTATGATTTTCGCTTCTTGGGTTTTCACGTTGTTGGTATGCTTAAGACCTTGGGACGTAGCAGAACCATGGTAATACGGAGCCAACTTAGCACGATTTATCACATCATTTCAAGATTCTCTTAAATAAGAAGGGAGGTGTTGACTGCCTAATGTGATTGCCATCCCTCAAGAGGAGAGTAGAAGGTATGTTCTCAATAAAAAAACTTATATAGAATCTTCTTGCAAATGCCAAAGCTTTAATAGATTGATGGACAGGGACACATTAGCACTGCCATTGGCCTGATGGAGTCATTTTGGAATAATTTTCTCTAAAGTCACCTTCAGTTTAGCTTCAAAAAAATCAAGCGATGACTATAAATATCTTTGTCATTAATCTATCTTTCAGAATAGGAACAAATCCTCTGATTTTAATAGTTTTTAAAAAATTAATCATACCATGGTGATTTAGTAGAGATTATTAGAATAGGCCCACTAGGCCTATTAGGCCCATTTTAGACTTATTCTCTCCACGCCCCTATTCTTTCTCCACTATCTTCACTTCTCCTTCTCTCTCTTTCTTTCCTTCTTCTATATCACCTCATGTATTCCTTTTCTTCAAGATATCAATTCTAGAACTTTCTCTTCCTCTTGTCAACACAATATTAGAGCCCTAAGGTTTTTCTGTTGCTGCCGCTCTACCTCCTCTCCTATTTCGGCATCACCTATCCTCTCTCAGTACAATCTTCTACAATGCCATCTTGTGTGCCTACCTGGTGCTTGGTCTGCATAGTCCTACACGTCTGCCGCACCTCTTGCCACCTGCACCTATCCAGCACTTGCCCAGTACCATCCTGCACACCCGCCCAACGTGTCGCTGTGCCTGCACGCTTGACAGCACCATCTCCTTGATGCCCCATGTAATGACTACAAGTGCTGCCTCCCAGTGCCATTCACATTGCCTCCTAGTGCCACCCGCACTGCATCTTGGTGTCCCATGCGCCGCCTCCCAACACTGCCCCTCATCGCCTCTTGGCGCCCCCCACACTGCCTCTGACGCCTTATGTAGCTCCGAGATGTCTTCTCCCAGTGTCATCTCATCTCCCACTAATCCTGATTTATGGATCTGGTAGGTGAATACTCAATATCCCAAGTGTCTCCTCCATCAATTCTTCAGCCGATTGTCGCTCTTCATTCGATTGGGTCGACTACTCTATGGCACTCCATCACGATGCAACTCACTCAACCAGAATATATCTTTAATGGACATAATTATGCATCTTGGGCCTCTAGATTTGAGCACTTCTTGACATTGCACACCATTTTCTACCACTTGTCGATTGATCCACCTAGCCTCACTGATCCGTCCTTTACTTCATGGTCTCTACTCGATTCAACCATCCGTACTTAGATCTTCAAAGTATAGTGACGAGTATTCCTAAGCCTTTCACTTAGATTTGTCCTATGTAACAACTCTAGACAACATTGAGGAACATGTACGTTAATCAGATGAATATCAATCACACGGTCAAGATCTTCAAGTTGTTGTTGTCTACAAGTAGGCAGACTCTTCATTTTAGACTCATTTTGGTCATCTCTAGGCCCTAATACATGAGCTTGTTATCTATCAGCCTTTGACCATTGACTTCTAGATATTCAAGTGCTATTGTCAAGAGTTTTTTTACTAGAGTCTATCTGAGTGAACTTCACCGATTGATTACCTTTTAGATTCGTGGGATGATTCTTTTCGGAGACTAGGCACTTGATATCTCTCACATTTTCTCCACTACACTTCATGTGAGTATAGGCATTCCTCTTATTATTGCTAGTGACACATCTGCTCCTCCGGCGATGGCTGTCTTCACTCTTTGAACGCCACATGACCCTCTTGCTTCAAGACCAGATAGTGGCCGTCTGCCACGAGGGAAGGGCTGTAATTCTTTTCCTCCATACATCTATTACAACAAGTAGAACCACCCACTCGACATATATTTAAAATAGTTTGGGAAGCCTAACTCTACTCAATTGGCTCTCCTACCTCTGTCACAAGCTTTTTTGGCATTGTCTAGTGTCCCACCTTTGACTTTTCAGGTGACATTAACCTTTGCCGAATATGAAGCATTATGTCACTCTTGTGGTACCATGGCTCATTCTTTAACCAATCTGGCCTCACTTTCAAATCCTTTCACATTAGGTACACATGCTCTCCTTACATCTTTATCTTCACCATAGATGATTGACTCAAAGGCCTTCACCCACATGACCAGTATATCCACTATTTTATCATTGTACTAATGTGTCCCTCATCTTCCACTAGTTATCATTATCGATGGTCGAACTTCTTCGTTCAATAGATAGTAATACTGTTGTTACCTTGAGCATTCATCTCACTTAGGTTCTCTATGTTCCTATATTTTCTACTAACCTTTTATCTATCAGTGCTATTACTCGAGCCATCCTTTTGCTCTGTTATATTTTTCCTTTCTCATTATACCTTCCAAAATCTATATACTAAGTGAAGGATTGGTTTAATACGTGAAAATGGATGAACTATTTACAAGCTAATTTTTGATGAACCTTTTTGGCCTTTAGACTCTTTTTATTTTCTTTATGGTCACTTCATCTCTTTTGTGACATCGTCGTTTATGATATCTTTGTTTTGAAAAACTTCAAAAAACTATCTTAGCTTTCTCTTAATAAGTTTATGTGTGAGTCATGTCAATTAAGTAAACACCATCGTGGTTCATACTCGAGTTGAGATAAAGTTTCATTTATAACACTCTTTGACCTTATTTATTGTGATGTTTGGGGTCCTTTTTGTACTCTATTAATTTACACATTTTGTGTTGATTGTGGTATTCTTCATTAAACTATATGTCTACATTATTAAATTTAGATTTTTATGTTTTAATTAGTTTTAGTAATTTATTTTATTTTGTTAACCTTCACAATAAATATAGGAATATATTATTAATTTTAAAAGTTTGAAGTTAAAATACTTAGCATAATTTTTGATTATTTAGAAAAATAAATGAATAAAATGGAAAAATATCACTACCTACTAGTAAGTTGGCACTCGATAGTTGACTCAAAGTGGTGCTACAGCCGAGTGGGCAGACTTAGATAGGGGGAGCCACAAGCTGGGCTCAAGTGGCAAAAAACTCGTTTCATGCATGTGTGTCACTACCCTGCCACATCCCAATGGCCAACCAGTCGTGGAGCAAGGAGTGTTGTACACACATGCACGTGTCAGGGTGGACCACTTTTTGGCCTTCTCCCAAGATGATCTTGGACATTATTTTATTTTGGGAGAAGTGATCTCTGCTAAGAGAATGTAGCTTTGATTTATATTCTGCTCAATTGCCAAAATATTTCTAATGTAGGACTAAAGCTTCTCATGTGTTTAAAGGTAGTCGTTTAGAGCACAGTGTCATCTAGTGATGTTTAGAGAGCTATGTCATGAGATAAGCCAAATCTTGGAATAGGTGAGCCGTCATGATACTAGATGTGTGAAGTAATCCATTGGCGGTTCGCGAATCCGACGACACTTAGCATGCATGTGGCCATAAATGATAATCCGACAACTAAGGAGGTGCCACAGTACTAAGGACTTAAGTTCCTAGTCGGCAATAGTTCGTGATAGGTTGATCTTGCATTGCTCAACACGCCACATGACCAAGCACATCTGATCCAACGGCTCATGAAGCACCACAATACTAAGAACTTAAGTTCTCACACGTATCCATATTAGGAATATAAAAATAATAATCAATTATTTTCTAGTAAAATGTATATTATTCATTATATTTAAAAATTCCGACAATAGTCACAAATATGGAAATCCATTCTTCTCTCCTTTCGCGTGATCAATGCCTTCAACGATTGGCGAGCTCGTTCCTTCCTCCTCCGACTACACTCAAGGCCTCCAATGAGTGATCAACTCTTCCCTCCCTCCTCAGACGATAGTGACAATGTGGTTGACCCCTTGACGTGACTTAGTCATTGTATATTAAATCACGCAAATATAAAATTTATAAAACTAGAAAATATAAATTTTCGGATATTTAGAAGTATTTATGAACAAATATATCAAGTATAATTCAATAAAACTTCCAAAAATAGCGATAATTTTCCAAGTCGATCACAAGGATGTAATATAATATCTGGTAATTATTCAAAATTTTTCTCAAAGAATACTATTTTTTATGAATTTTATACTAAGAAATAAAAAGGAAATATATTTCAAATTCACGGAAAAAGAAAATAAGGGTGCGGACGTCAGGATGATGTCAGTGCTCAGTGAACGTGAATTGGGCAGAAACAGAGTTCTGCTCGATGATTCTTACGTATGCGATTATAGATGATTTAATTGATCAAATTAAGATCTGTAAAAGCCGAAAGAATCGTAATGAAATGAAATATATCTTGGTAAATTTAAAATCAACAAATTATCACTAAATGAAATGAAAATTAAGTTGAAAGCAAGAAAATAGAGTTCCGGCATCGCGGCGGTGATGCACCAGAATCCTGAGCATTCAGGAGGATAGTCGTGTAGTGTCCACGGCCTCGAAGGCTCTCCTTTAACAAGGACAATGTGGGCAATCTCTAGATCTCTTCGCGAAGTCTAGAGATCAATAAAATGGGTTGTTGAATCGTCTCCGGCGGCTGTCACCTGGCGAAGCGGAAAAATGGCGACTTTGCGGCTCTCCGACGGCTGTCACCCAACGGAGAGGAGCTGGATGGAGGTGGGGCGCGTGTTAGGGAGCTTCATCCTCAAGTCCGCACAGCAAGAGAAGGCTCTTCATCACATCTGGTACACTCTTAGGAGGTGACGGCTCGTCTCCCGGCAGATCGTCCTCTTCCTGACGACGGCTTGTTTGTCGATCAATCGGAGATGTTTTACTCGATGGATTCGCGGTCCTTTTATCGCGAATCGTTAAGTAATTTTAGTAACAATGCTCCGCAAATCGTGCTAACGAGATTTTTGCCAATGATCCAGCGATTATGGTTGCTTAATCCTTCACCAGCGATTTGCAGGAAAGTTGCGATAATCAGATAAAAAAAAAAGAGTTTTGGCTCTAGGAGGATTCGAACCCGTGCCGGTTGCCTGCCCTTTATGGGGAAGGTGACGTGGGTTTAGTCCCACATCGGTTGTGCACTGAAATTTCTAGCGAATATAAACTAATATTACATTCCCGATCATGTCCCTTTCTCACGTGTGTACGACCACTCCTTGCCCCACAGCCGACTGGCCACCGGTGATGTGGAAGGGGAGTGGCGCACACATGCCCCCATCAGTTCAAGCCGCTCGAGCCCCTACTCGCAGCTACTTCTCGACTGCGCTTCCGACTTGCTCGCGGGCGCCGGCTGGCTGGCGGGTCTCCCCATTTTGCAATTTTTTTTTTTTCTTTCTTTTTCTTCATTTATCTCAAAAGTAAGACTGTAAAAATCATATAAATTCGTATAAAATCACATAATTACCCAAAAATCACATTAATCAACTGAAAACCACTTTTTACACTTTAACACAAATATAAGTCTATTTATCATGAGTTAAGACTAAAACTATATTATTTACAAATTATTAACTCATGATAATGAAGACTTATCACACCCCCCAACTTAAATCATTGCTAGTCCCTTAGCAATGGAATTACGAAAATAAAAATTTACAAATCTCAAAAATTATATTTCAATACATAAAAAAAAATACAATTAGAAATGATGCACCTTTAGACACTTTGGACTCTTATATCAAATATTTAAGAATGATGTCAAGCACTTAAATGTTTAAACACTCCTTGGAATAACAATCTAGACTTCACTTCTTCTATTCACATCTTTATCATGTCTTCACTCATAGATAGATTTACAAAATGTTCCAATTATCAATAATCATCTAAGAATAATATTGATCCTACATTTCCCTTTTTCCATGGCTTGATTTTTGAAGTGTGCACTATATTTCTTCCTCTTTTTTTTTATATATATAGTGGATAAGTAGCTTTTACTGTAGACAAATTTCGACAATAAGAATGATGTCTCACACCCTCCATATGTACTCTTCATTTTCAAGGCTTTCACTTTATCCACTTATTTTGCAGCAAATGTTTTTCTATACACGATTTTCGACAATGAGAATGATGTCTCACACCCTCTATGTGTACTCTTCGTTTCTAGATTTTTCACATTTCTCTCTCTCTTTTTTTTTTAAATAAGTGATTTCTCCTCACAAGTCCTATAGATCTGGGTGCAAAAATCTCTATTAAACTCAAATGATCAATCAAATTTTCACATCAAGTAAATACTATCCATCAAGATCATGAAGTGAAAATTTGTAAAATCAAATCTATGCTATCTATCATGTATCCAAGGAGTATTCCAATATTTCATGCTACTTGATCATTCTTTTGACTCAATAATAATCTTCCTAGTATCTTTTGGTATCAATCAATCTAATTGATTTAATTTTTCATGCATGCAATATGATGTAAGAAATTTATAAATTAGATAGTTCTGACAGTTCTGTTTTCTATTTTCAGTTCTATTTTTAGCAACAATAAATTTGTCAAAAATAAATCAAAACTATCCTCTTTATAGCTGTAATTTCGAATTTCAGTAATATATGTCTAGGGAATTGAAATGTGAGAAAAGGGTCTCTAGAATTTCAAATTTTGGGTTGTTTTTTGTCTATTGTTTTTGACAGTCTCTTGTTCCTGACAGAAAACCAGAAAATAGATGTTGCAGTTTTCTAAATTTTATTTTATTTTTTAGTTTTTCAGTTTCTGTTCTAATGCAAACACATGTTCTTAATCATCCTACAGCATAAATTAATAATGAATACTTCACCCCCCAACTTAAAAATGACATTATCCTCAATGACACAAAAAAATCGAAATAGAATATATAGAAAATATAATTTTCAAGTGAAGCATGCATATATGCAAAGTTAAGCATTAAAAATATTGTCATAAATGATAAAGCTTAGAAAGACATCACCTCAACCTCATTTTTAATTTTCCACTTCATCTTACACTCTTCCTCCTACACTTTTTCGAAAAAAACAAATACAGAAACAAGTACTGCAAAATTTTAAGAAAAACAGAGCTTAAAAAAAATTCAAATAGAGTGAAATAAAAACCATGGGTTGCCTCCCATGCAACACTGAATTTCATGTCTTCAGCTGGACAGATCTTAGATCATATAAGATGATCTATGGCCATCAAAATATATTTGTATCTAATAAGTTTTCATTATCATAGGTTAATAATTAGTAAATAATATAGTTTTAGCCTTAACTCATGATAAATAGACTTATATTTGTGTTAAAGTGTGAAAAGTGGTTTTCAGTTGATTAATGTGATTTTTTTGGGTAATTATTTGATTTTATACGAATTTATATGATTTTTACAGTCTTACTTTTGAGATAAATGAAGAAAAAGAAATAAAACTAAAATATTGCAAAATTGGGGGGACCCGCCGGCCAGCCGGGCCCGCAAGCGGGTCGGAAGCTTAGTCGGGGAGTATCCGCGAGCAGGGGCTCGAGCGGCTTGGACCGATAGGGGCACGTGTGCGCCACTCCCCTTCCACGTCACCGGTGGCCAGCCGGCTGTGGGGCAAGGAGTGGTCGTACATGCGAGAGAAGGGACTTTGCTTAGAAAGCTAACATTACTTTATATTCGCCTGAAAAATCGGCGCACAACCGATGTGGGACTAAACCCGCGTCACACCTTCTTCAGAAGGGCGGACAACCGGCGCGGGTTCGAATCCTCCCAGAGTCAAAATTCATATATTTTTATCTGATTATCGCGACTTTCCTGCAGATCGCCGGTGAAGGATTAAGCAACCAGAATCGCTGGATCATCGGCGAAAATCTCGTCAACGCGATTCGCAGAGCATTGCTACTAAAGTTGCTGAACGATTCGCGATAAAAGGATCGCGAATCCATCGAGTAAATCATCTCCGATTGATCGACGAACAAGCCGTCGTCGGGAAGAGGACGATCCGCCGGGAGACGAGTCGCCACCTCTTGAGAGCGTACCAGATGCGATGAAGAGCCTCCTCTTGCTGCGCGGACCTGAGGATGAAGCTCCTTGACACGCGCCCCACCTCCATCTAGCTCCTCTCCGTCGGGTGACAGCCGCAAAAGACTGCAAAGTCGCCATTTTTCCGCTCCGCCGGGTGACAGCCGCCGGAGACGACTCAGCGACCCATTTCATTAATTTCTAGACTTCACGAGAAGATCTAGAGATTGCCCACGTCGTCTTTGTCCAAGGAGAGCCTTCGAGGTTGTGGACACTGCACGACGATCCTCCCGAACGCTCAGGATTCCGGTGCATCGCCGACGCATCGCCGTCGCGACGCCGGAATTCTGTTTTCCTGCTTTCAAACTTACTTTACTCTTCATTTAGTGATACTTTTTGTGATTTTAATTTACCAAAATATACTTTGTTCTATTACGATTCTTCCGGCTTTTACAGATCTTAATTTGATTAACTAAATCGTCTATAATCGCTTTCGTAAGAATCGCCAGGCGGAACTCTGTTTCCGCCCGATCCGCGTTCGCCAGGCGCTGATGTCATCTTGACGTCCGCACCCTTATTTCCTTCTTTTTCGTAAATTTTAAATATATTTCCTTTTCATTTCCTAGTATAAAATTCATAAAAAATCGTATTTATTGAGAAAAATTCTGAATAATTACCAGATATTATATTACATTTCTGTGATCAACCTGGAAAATTACCGCTATTTTTGGAAGTTTTTTTGAATTATAATTGATATATTTTTTCAGAAATACTTCTAAATATCTGAAAATTCGTATTTTCTAGTTTTATAAATTTTAGATTTGCGTGATTTAATATACAACGACTGAGTCACGTCAGTATCCCAATGTAAGTTTCATGATATTCTTTTTCAGATTTAGTATAAATTCATATACTTCATATATATACCTTGACATACTTTCAGTCAAAACAAAATGGAAATTAACAAAAGTTTCCCAAAAATAATATTTTCATTTTGAAAAGAATTTTTCCTCATTTCTATCTTATTTTTTAAAGCTCTCATTCATTAATAAATACATTCTATTAATAGACCATAAAATGTGATCAAGCCATATAATTTTCAAATTAGCTCTTACCCAATCTAGAATTTTTTCATCTAAATTGATATTTCTAATTCTTCTATTCATCTATTTCTTAATATCTTCTTTTATCTGCATAATCTTCCCTTGCTCCATTTTATCTGCCATACATATTTGTTCAATTTGCGAGGAGTGAAATATTCCAAGCTTAGAAGTAATTCTAATGGGCTGTGGGTTTTGAAGGATTGAAGGATTGTCTTCTTTAATCTCAGATCTAATGAATTCAGTAAAATTCAAATTTTCTCCTCTAAAATTATCTCTATATTCATATCCATTATTTTTGTTTCTCCCCATTAGTTGAATCAACTCTTTTTCTAGCTTTTCGTTTCTCAACTCATCAAATTCTTCATTTTTCCAAGAGCTATCTTTTAATTTTGATATATGATATACATCATCATCCTCACTATCAATATCTATGGCTGCAAAATTATGATTATATTTATTAATTTCGTCTCCTACATCTCCCAAATCAACTGATTTTTCCTCACTTGAAATATGTTTTTCTTCATTTGTGTCCTTACTCCCTTCTACTAAAATTTGGATGATTTTTCCATGATCAGCTGTTGTTTCTTCATCTAAGGGCTCTTTCTCCTCATCATCCTCACTATATTCATTCATCAATTGTGCGCAATAAATGATTTTATTCAAATTTTCTGCTACTATATTTTCGGCCTTAATATTCTCATTTACTTCTAATGGCTCATCAATTTCTTCTAATAATTAGAAATAAGGATTAGGTAAAATATTCTCACTTAATGTATTCACTATCCTAACATTTTCATTTCGTGCGTTTTTTTTAAATTTATCTAACTAGACTTTTCTTACTGAAATCCTACTATTAGATAGTTTCCTGAATTTTCTATGAGTTGACTAGGTGGTTGTCCCTCTTCTCTGCTATTCTCAAAAGTCTCTACAATTTGTTTTTGGTGCAACATTATTTTATTCATAGTTTGTTGCATCATTTGGCTCATTTGCTGCATCATTTTTATAGCATCAGGTTGGATTTGAGAGGACTGATTTTTCTGAAATCTATGTTCCTGTTTTGGACGAAATTCAAAATTTGAATTGGATCTAAGTGCTTCTGGATTTTGAATATTATTTGGGTTTCTCCACGAAAAATTATTCTCCCCCAATTAGGATTATAAGAATTAAAAAAATATTTCCTATTTTTACTAAAATCGTGGGGTACCTACACTTGTTCTTGTCTAGGATGATATTGAAATTCGAAATGATCATTTTCACCATACATAGGACATGTACTATTTACATTAAATTGAGGGTTAAGAGGCTTTCTAATATTGTCAATAAGTAAATCAAGTTATTCTAATATTTGATTAATCTAATTAACCTCATTTCTAAATTTAGAATCATTATCATGATGCGATTCATAAATTCTTCTCTTCTTATCTCTGTCATATAATTCAAAAGAGGCTTGATCTCTAGAATTTTCACTTAAATTCTCATAAAGACTATAAATCTCATCAGGGGTTTTCTCCATCAAAGCTCCTCCACATATAGAATCAACCATATTTTTATGTTGTTCTAATAATCCATCATAAAAAATTCTATTGAGCTGCCACTTGGGTATAGCATGATGAGGACACTTTCAAGTAAATCTTTGAATGTTTCCCATGTCACATGTAAAGTTTCTCCTAGTCTTTGAGAAAAATTCTATATATGTTTTCTCATATTTTGAGTTTTTCCTAAGGGATAAAATTTTCGAAGAAAGGCCTATTCTATATCTTTCTAGCTAGTTAATTATCTATCTAATATGGATAGTTAATGGCTAACTTTGTCCCTAAGTATATGAGGAAATAATTTCATCTTAATAATTTCCGATGTAACTTGAGGGAGATTTACTAAATCACATACCATATAAAATTTTTCTAAGTGCTGATGAGTTTCTCTAAAGGCAATCCATGAAAATTAGGGAGCATTTGAAAAAAAATTGGATTTATTTCGAATTTAATAGTTGGTGCTAATGGGACTCTAATATTAGATGCTCTTTGAAATGAATAAGGGATATAATGATTTTTCATGGCCATAGGATTGCTCTCAGTTTGACCTGTACTTCAAGATCCATCAAAAATCATTTTTCTTTTGGATTTTTAGTTTTGAAAGAAATAATGAAAGGATTTTCTAGCCTTAGATGCAAGGATCTTCTACCATGCATAAAAAAATCGGTAAATTCGAGGGAAAAGTTTAGTAATTGTTACCCTCCTTCAGCATGCTCCAATCCTTGCCTTGCCCTTTTGGTTCCCTTTTTCTAAAAAAAATTTCGGCAAGAAGAAAATAAAACAAGAGTTAATTTTTTTTGTGTACTCTAAGAGAAAAATAGAAAAACACTAAATACTATGCAATACATCCCTGACAACGGCACCAAAAGTTGACGTGACTTAGTCATTGTACATTAAATCATGCAAATTTAAAATTTATAAAACTAGAAAATACGAATTTTCAGATATTTAGAAGTATTTCTGAAAAAATATATCAACTATAATTCAATAAAACTTCCAAAAATAACACTAATTTTCCAGGTCGATCACAGGGATATAATATAATATCTGGGAATTATTCAGAATTTTCTAAAAAGAATACTATTTTCTATGAATTTTAAACTAAGAAATGAAAAGAAAATATATTTAAAATTCACAAAAAAGAGAAATAAGGGTGCGGATGTTAGGATGACGTCAGCACGCGGCGAACGCGAATCCAGCAGAAACAGAGTTCCACCCGGTGATTCTTACGTAAGCGATTACAGACGATGTAATTGATCAAATTAAGATCTATAAAAGCCAGAAGAATCGTAATGGAATGAAGTAAATCTTGGTAAATTTAAAATCAACAAATTATCACTAAATGAAACGAAAATTAAGTTGAAAGCAGGAAAACAGAGTTCCGACGTCGCGGTGGCGATGCGTCGGCGATGCACTAAAATCCTGAGCATTTAGGAGGATCATCGTGTGGTGTCCACAGCCTCGAAGGCTCTCCTTGGACAAGGATGACGTGGGCAATCTCTAGATCTCCTTGCGAAGTCTAGAGATTAATGAAATGGGTCGTCGAGTCGTCTCCGGCGGCTGTCACTCGGCGGAGTGGAAAAACGGCGACTTTGTGGCTCTCCGGCGGCTGTCACCCAACAGAGAGGAGCTGGATGGAGGTGGGGCACGTGTCAGGGAGCTTCATCCTCAAGTCCACGCAGCAAGAGGAGGCTCTTCATCGCATCTAGTATACTCTTAGGAGGTAGCGACTCGTCTCTTGGCGGATCGTCCTCTTCCCGACGACGACTTGTTCGTCGATCAATCGGAGATGCTTTACTCGATGGATTCGAAATCCTTTTATCACGAATCGTTCGAAAATTTTAGTAACAATGCTCCGTGAATCGCGTTGATGAGATTTTCGTCGATGATCCAGCGATTCTGGTTGCTTAATCCTTCACCAGTGATCTGCAGGAAAGTTGCGATAATCAGTAAAAAAAAATATGAGTTTTGGCTCAGGAGGATTCGAACCCCCGCCGGTTGCCCACCCTTTCTGGGAAAGGTGACGCGGGTTTAGTCCCACATCAGTTGTGCGCCGACGTTTCTGGTGAATATAAAGTAATATTACATTTCCGATCAAGTCCTTTTCTGGCACGTGTACGACCACTCCTTGCCCCACAGCTAGCTGGGCACCGGTGACGTGGAAGGAGAGTGGCGCACACGTGCCCCCATCGGTTCAAGTTGCTCGAGCCCCTGCTCGCGGCTCCTGCCCGACTACGCTTCCGACCCACTTGTGGGCCCAGCTGGCCGGTGCCCCCCCCCCCATTTAGTCATATTTTTATTTTTATTTCTTTTTCTTCGTTTATCTCAAAAGTAAGACTGTAAAAATCGTATAAAATCACATAATTACCCAAAAATTCACGTTAATCAATTGAAAACCACTTTTCACACTTTAACACAAATAGAAGTCTATTTATCATGAGTTAAGGCTAAAACTATATTATTTACTAATTATTAACTCATGATAATGAAGACTTATCACAGACAAAGCACATCGAGATTAACTACCACTACATCTAGGAAAAGGTAATGTCAAGTGTTATCTTTACTCTGTACATTATCTTATCTCATTAGCTTGCAAACGTCTTCACCAAGAGTCTTGTGGGGATCTTAGATAATACATAAATAATGCATTATATATATGATATGTTGCATTAAAGCTCATGATCTTAAGATGTAAATTTATTGATTTACTAATGAATTCTCATATTTAGGGCACGTATTGACATTCATACACATCTTACATATTTCATTTGTTTCTCATTAGATTATACATTTTTAGATACTTGATGTACATTGTGTGAGAACATGATGTAATTTTTTGTCTTCTAACCATGTGAGCTTCATATGCTAAGCATTAACTTTCAGCTTATTAAGGAGCAAAGATCACACTTGGTCATTGAGTGAAGAATTATGAGTTTAAGACTCATAATCACATAATGAGAAGCAAGTAAAGTGGGCTCAAATGAAGAGTTGTGGGCATAAGGCCCATATTCACTTAGAGGATGTCATCCAAAGAGAGAGGAGGATCCATTGCCCACTTAAGTGGAAGGGAGTATTGATCCAATGGCTGAGATGTATACTTGGCACACGATAAGACACAAAAGAGGATCCACTATCTACACAAGAAGGGAGTGGCTTAGTCATTGATTTAAGGATTAATCGCATTGTAAAAATTAGAGAGAGAAAGAAGGGCATCGTCGTATACATACCATGTATCAACGATGAAAAACGGAACTTATCTTAGTGAAAGTTCAAGTGATTGTTGTCCTAGTAGGGTTTGGAGGGTCCCAAGCTCTATTCCTCGCAATCGGAGGTGTGTCATATATTCATCATCAGATGATTCACCTTGAACAAGATTCTCTCCCATGGCTAGCAGCTATCGCCTCCTCTTGGTGGAAATAAGGAAGGAGGGTGGTGATAATTGATAAGTCTTCATTATCATGAGTTAATAATTAGTAAATAATATAGTTTTAGTCTTAACTCATGATAAATAGACTTATATTTGTGTTAAAGTGTGAAAAGTGGCTTTTAGTTGATTAACGTGAATTTTTGGGTAATTATGTGATTTTATACAATTTTATATGATTTTTACAATCTTACTTTTGAGATAAATGAAGGAAAAGAAATTAAAATAAAAATAGCAAAATGGGGGGGACCCGCTGGCCAGCCGGGCCTACAAGTGGGTCGGAAGTGCAGTCAGGCAGGAGTCGTGAGCAGGGGCTCGAGCGGCTTGAACCGATGGGGGCACGTGTGTGCGACTCCCCTTCCACGTCACTAGTGGTCAGCCGGCTATGGGGCAAGGAGTGGTCGTACATGCGCGAGAAAGGGACTTGATCGGAAATGTAATATTCTTATATATTCGCCAAAAACTTCGGCCCACAAACGATGTGGGACTAAACCCGCGTCACCTTCCCTAGAACGGGCAGGCAACCAGCACAGGTTCGAAGCCTCCTAGAGCCAAAACTCATTTTTTTTTATCTGATTATCGCAACTTTCCTGCAAATTGCCGGTGAAGGATTAGGCAACCAAAATCGCTGGATCATCGGCGAAAATCTCATCAACGTGATTCGTGGAGCATTGTTACTAAAATTTCCAAATGATTCGTAATAAAAGGATTCCGAATCCATTAAGTAAAGCATCTCCAATTGATCAACGAACAAGGCGTCGTCGGGAAGAGGATGATCCGTCGGGAGACGAGTCGCCACCTCCTGAGAGTGTACCAGATGCGATGAAGAGCCTCCTCTTGCTGTGCGGACCTGAGGATGAAGCTCCCTGACACGCACCCCACCTCCATGCAGCTCCTCTCCGCTAGGTGACAGCCGCTGGAGAGCCGCAAAGTCGCCGTTTTTCCGCTCCGCCGGGTGACAGCCGCCGAAGACGATTCAATGACCTATTTCATTGATCTCTAGACTTCGCAAGGAGATCTAGAGATTACCCACGTTGTCTTTGTCCAAGGAGAGTCTTTAAGGTTGTGGACATTGCACGACGATCCTCCCGAATGCTCAGGATTCCGGTGCATCGCCGACACATCACTGCCGCGACACTGAAACTCTATTTTCCTGCTTTCAACTTACTTTATGCTTCATTTAGTGATAATTTATGTGATTTTAGTTTTACCAAAATATACTTCGTTCAATTACGATTCTTCCGACTTTTACAGATCTTAATTTGATCAATTAAATCCTCTATAATCGCTTAAGTAAGAATCGTCGGGTGGAACTCTGTTTCTGCCTGATTCGCATTCTCAGGGTGCCGACGTCATCTTGACGTCCGCACCCTTATTTTCCTTTTTCGTGAATTTTAAATATATTTCATTTTCATTTCTTAGTATAAAATTCATATAAAATAGTATTCTTTGAGGAAAATTCTGAATAACTACCAAATATTATATTACATCCTTGTGATCGACCTGGAAAATTAGTACTATTTTTGTAAGTTTTATTGGATTATAATTGATATATTTTTTTTAAAATACTTCTAAATATCTGAAAATTCATATTTTCTAGTTTTATAAATTTTATATTTACATGATTTAATATACAATGACTAAGTCACGTCAACTAGTATAGAAGTAAGTCTTTAGTCAAACACACGGAGATTGATTAATCTATCGTAAAAACTAATTTAGTTTTTATATAAAGTGATTTTAATATTTTAATAATATTTAATAGAAATAATAAAATAGAATGGTGAGGTGTGAAGAATAAAGGAAGGGAAGCGGAGAAAAGAAAGGAGGAAATGGAAGAGAAGAGAGCTCTCACAAGAGAGATAAGGGATGAGATTTCTTGTGAAAGGGAGAGAAAGAGAGTGGAGGAGAGAAAGCTCTCACGAGAGAGATAAGGAATGAGATCTCTCGCGAAAATGAGAGAATGAGAGAATGAGAGAAAGAGAGAAGAGGAGAGAAAGCTCACACGAGAGAGAGAAGCGATGAGATCTCTCACAAAAGAGAGAAAGAGAGAGATCTCATGAGAAATGGAGAGAGAAGAGAGGTCTCATGAGAGAGGGAGAGAGATAAATAAGACGAAATTGAAGAAAAAGAGAAATACAGTCAACCCATTTTCTTGGACGAATGTGTGCTCAAAGATTCACACACATGACATGAGGTCAGCCATGAATGTCTCTAGTTTATTTTAACAGTTGAATACTCATTAATCAGCCTTTAATCTCGGTGATTTCACGTTCAAAAATAGAAAAATTCTCATTTTTTGTGGAACACCAGGGATATGAATACAGTGAGATTCGATTGTGAAAATCAATAAAAAACAAGTTGAAAACAATCTTAACTTGATCTCAGACGAGTTTTAGAGGATTCAGAAGAAGAATGAAGATCATTCATGAAGTTTGAATTAGTTCTACTTATTTCAATCAAAACATGCATGAAACGGAAATAACTTGTCGTAAAATATAAATAAATGATAAACGCAAGTAAGTAAATACTAAAAATAGGAAGTTAACTGAAGTGACTCAGTCGTTGTATATTAAATCATGCAAATATAAAATTTATAAAACTAGAAAATACGAATTTTCAAATATTTAGAAGTATTTCTGAACAAATATATGTAATATAATATCTGGTAATTACTCAAAAATTTTCTCAATGAATACGATTTTCTATGAATTTTATACTAAGAAATGAAAAGGAAATATATTTAAAATTCATGAAACAAGGAAATAAGGGAGCGGGCGTCAGGATGACGTCAGCACCCGGCGAACGCAAATCGGGCAGAAACAAAGTTACGCCCGACGATTCTTACGTAAGCGATTATAGACGATTTAATTGATCAAATTAAGATCTGTAAAAGACGGAAGAATCGTAATGAAATGAAGTATATGTTGGTAAATTTGAAATCAACAAATTATCACTAAATGAAACGGAAATTAAGTTGAAAGCAGGAAAACAGAGTTCCGGCGTCGCAACGGCGATGCGTCGGAGATGCACCGGAATCCTGAGTGTTCGGGAGGATCGTCGTGCAGTGTCCACGGCCTCGAAGGCTCTCCTTGGACAAAGATGACGTGGGCAATCTCTAGATCTTCTCGCGAAGTTTAGAGATTAATGAAATGGGTCGTCGAGTCATCTCCGGCGGCTGTCACCCGGCGAAGCAGAAAAACAGTGACTTTGCAGCTCTCCGGCGGCTGTCACCCGACGGAGAGGAGCTGGATGGAGGTGGGGCGCGTGTCAGGGAGCTTCATCCTCAGGTCCGCGCAGCAAGAGGAGGCTCTTCATCGCATCTGGTACACTCTCAAGAGGTGGCGACTCGTCTCCCAGCAGATCATCCTCTTCCCGACGACGGCTTGTTCGTCGATCAATCGGAGATGATTTACTCGATGGATTCGCGATCCTTTTATCGCAAATCATTCAGCAATTTTAGTAGCAATGCTCCACGAATCGCGTTGACGAGATTTTCGCCGATGATCCAACGATTCTCGTTGCTTAATCCTTCACCGGCAATCTGCAGGAAAGTCGTGATAATCAGATAAAAATATATGAATTTTGACTTTGGGAGGATTCGAACCCGCGCCGGTTGTCCGCCCCTTCTGAGGAAGGTGTGATGCGGGTTTAGTCCCACATCGGTTGTGCACCAATTTTTCGGGCGAATATATAGTAATGTTAGCTTTCTAAGCAAAGTTCCTTCTCTCCCGTGTACGACCACTCCTTGCCCCACAGTCGGCTGGCCACCGGAGACGTGGAAGGGGAGTGGCGCACATGTGCCCCTATCGGTCCAAGCCGCTCAAGCCCCTACTCGTGGCTACTCCCCGACTAAGCTTCCGACCCACTTGTGGGCCCAGCTGGCCGGTGGGTCCCTCCCTCATTTTGTCTTATTTTTATTTCTTTTTGTTCATTTATCTCAAAAGTAAGACTGTAAAACTCATATAAATTCATGTAAAATCACATAATTATCTAAAAATTCACATTAATCAATTGAAAACCACTTTTCACACTTTAACACAAATATAAGTCTATTTATCATGAGTTAAGGCTAAAACTATATTATTTACTAATTATTAACTCATGATAATGTAGACTTATCATTAACTGTTGCCCAAGTTTAGTCTACCTTTTGGGCAATTGGAGACACTAGTGTGGTGGCTTGATTTCGTTTGGACATGCCACACAATGCCAGAAGTCACAGAAGTATTATCTGAAAGCATTGCACTGCTTGCCGAAGAATATCCACCAAAAGAGCGGTTGACCACATTGTCACTATCATTTGGGGGGAGAAGGGAAGAGTTGACCACTTGCCGGAGGACTTGAATATAGTCGAGGGAAGAAGGAATGAGTTTGTCGATCGCTAGAGATGTCGATCGCTCAAAAGGAGGGAAGAATGGATTGTAATATTCACGACTACTATCGGGATTTTAGAGATAATCGATAATGTCTATTTCATCAGACAATAATCAATTATTGTCTTTATATCCCTAACGATGATATATGCGAGAACTTAAGTTCTCAATATCGTGGTGCTTCGAGAGCCACTAGATGAGATATGGTTCGTCACGTGGTGCACTGAGCGATGCAAGATCAACCCACCACGAACCGCTGCCATGCGTGATGAGCGGCGTTGGATTCACATATCATCGATAGATCGCTTTACACATCTAGTATCGTGGCAGTTCGCCAGCCGCAAGATCTGGCTAATTTGATGACGTGGTTTGCTGCATACCATTGGATCACACTACACTCTAGATGGTTGCGCTGAAATAGATGAAAATATTTAGTCTCACATTGGAAATATTTCGGATGCATGTGCCAAATATAAACCAAAGCTACATTCTCTCATCAGAGATCCCTTCTCTTGAAATAAAATAATGCCTAAGACCATCTTGGGAGAAGGCAAAAAAGTGGTATGCCCTTGTGCACGCGCACATGTCTATGGACACTCCTCTCATGCGCACACGTGTGTACAGACACTCCTCTCGTGCGCACACGTGTCCCACAACCAGTTGGCCACCAAGACGTGGAAGGGGAGTGACACATAAATGCGCGGAGTGAGGCCTTCACCACTTAAGCCCAGCTTGTGGCTCCCCTAGTCTGGGTCTACCTATTCAACTATTGCTAAATGCTAGCTTGCTAGCGGCTAGAAGATTTTTTATATTTTATTTTTTTTATTTAAATAATTTAAAATTACATAGTATGTTAATGATGTGACTCAATTATTGTATAGTAAATCACACAAATTTAAAATTTATAAAACTAGAAAATACGATTTTTTAGATATTTAGAAATATTTCTGAACAAATATATCAAGTATAATTCAATAAAACTTCAAAAAATAGCGGTAATTTTCCAAGTCGATCACAGGGATGTAATATAATATCTGGTAATTATTCAGAATTTTCTGAAAAGAATACTATTTTCTATGAATTTTATACTAAGAAATGAAAAGGAAATATATTTAAAATTCACGAAAAAGGGAAATAAGGGTGCGGACGTCAGGATGACATCAACACCCGGCAAATGCAAATTTGGCGGAAACAAAGTTCCGCCTGACAATTCTTACGTAAGTGATTACAGACGATCTAATTGATCAAATTAAGATCTGTAAAAGCCGAAATAATCATAATAGAATGAAGTATATCTTGGTAAATTTAAAATCAACAAATTATCACTAAATGAAATGGAAATTAAGTAGAAAACAGGAAAACAGAGTTCCGACATCACGGCAGCAATGCGTCGGTGATGCACTGGAATCTTGAGCGTTCGGGAGGATCGTCATGGGGTATCCACGGCCTCGAAGGCTCTCCTTGGACAACGACGACGTGGGCAATCTCTAGATCTCCTTGCGAAGTCTAGAGATCAATGAAATGGGTCGTCGAATTGTCTTCGGTGGCTGTCACCCGAAAGAGAGGAGCTGAATGGAGGTGGGGCGTGTGTTAGGGAGCTTCATCCTCAGGTCCGCACAGCAAGAGGAGGCTCTTCATCGCATCTGGTATGCTCTCAAGAAGTGGCGACTCGTCTCCCGGCGGATCGTCCTCTTCCCGACGATGATTTGTTCGTCAATCAATTGGAGATGCTTTACTCAATGGATTCGCGATCCTTTTATCGCGAATCGTTCAACAATTTTAGTAACAATGCTCCGCGAATCGCGTTGATGAGATTTTCGCTGATGATCCAACGATTCTGGTTGCTTAATCCTTCATCGGCGATCTACAGGAAAGTTGCAATAATTAGTAAAAACAAATATGAATTTTGGCTCTGGGAGGATTCAAACCCGTGCCAGTTGCTTGCCCTTTCACTTGTGCGTCGAATTTTCTAGCGAATATATATTAATATTACATTTCTGATCGTCCCTTTCTCACGCATGTACGACCACTCCTTACCCCACAACCGGCTGCCCACCGATGATGTGGAAGGGGAGCGGCGCACACGTGCCCCTATTGGTCCAGGCCGCTCAAGCCCCTGCTTGCGACTACTCCCCGACTGCGCTTCCGACTCACTTGCGGGCCCAGCTGGCCAGCAGACCCCCCCATTTTGTTTTATGTTTATTTTAATTTCCTTTCCTTCATTTATCTCAAAAGTAAGACTGTAAAAATTGTATAAAATCACATAATTACCCAAAAATTCACGTTAATCAACTCAAAATCACTTTTCACACTTTAACATAAATATAAGTCTATTTATCATGAGTTAAGGCTAAAAATATATTATTTACTAATTATTAACTCATGATAATGAAGACTTATCAGTTAACTTCTAACTTTTAAAATGAACAATATATCTTTTTTTTTTTGCAAGTTAACAAAATAAAATCAAATAATAAAACTAATTGAAACACATAAATCTAGCTTTAATAGTGAGCTCTTATTATGAGTTGAAAGTAATAGAAGTCCTAGCCTTCAGCCCAATAAAAAACCTAAGTCTTATGGAGAGGCCCAACCTAATATGCTTAAGGGCCCAAGAGAGATCATCACTATGACCTAGCCCATTTAAACCTAAAAGGAATATCAAGAGATGAGATCTAGGCTGCCCATCTTATGGCACCTTAAGATAAGATTAAGAAGATGATTAAAGGGTCGTCCTCATGGAAGAATCTGGATTGCTTACCAAAAGAGTTAATTATTAATCATAATTGTCTATTGAAGGGGCCTAATTCTCAAAAAGATTAAAGCATCTCATCCCTCTTTTGGAGGGTGCTTGATGAACTCGAATTGAGGTTAACTACGTCGTTGTGATGCAACCAAGTTCATGTAAATAATATTTATAAAACCTCACTCTTCTATTTAGGATAAGAGTTGATCCTTAAGAAGTGTGAGTAATGAGAGTACGAATTCTACTTATTTTATTTCTTATATATATATATATATATATGTGAGATTGTGAAAGATAGAATTAAATGTAAAAGGGTGAAGACAAGAGTTGTGAAAAGTGTGACAAAGGAGAGAGAATGAATCTAACGTAATGGAATGATGGAATAAAGGATAAAACTAATTTGAATTACAAGTTAATCTATCCATAGACAGGATTACAAGGATGTCCCAAATCTGGATCTTGTACAAACCCCGTTGTGCGTTAGTCCTAAGCTGAGTGATGTTCGATCCGTGACGATCTTGATGTGCTCTAGGTAATCTTTTTTCAACAGTGATCTTTGGCACGAGAATGCCGTTAATCAGGCCTTGATTTCCCTCCTATTTTCCCTTGACTAGCCACTACTAGAGAGAGAGCCCAAAAAGTGCCTTCCAAGAGGGGGGCAAGATGCCTTAATCCTCTCGAGAGTTAAGCCCCTCTAATGGACAGTTAAGATTAATAACCAACTCTCTTGGTGGACAGCTCAGATCATTCTATGAGGGCGGCGCTCTAATCTTTCTCCTAATCTTATTTTAGGGCATCCTAAGATAGACGACTGACATGATTTAGTCTTTGTATAGTAAATCACGTAAATTTAAAATTTATAAAACTAGAAAATACGAATTTTTAGATATTTAGAAGTATTTCTGAACAAATATATCAATTATAATTCAATAAAACTTTCAAAAATAGTGGTAATTTTTCAAGTCGATCACAAGGATGTAATATAATATTATTTAGTTATTTAGAATTTTTCTCAAAGAATACTATTTTCTATAAATTTTACACTAAGAAATTAAAATAAAATATATTTAAAATTCACAAAAAATGAAAATAAGGGTGCTGACGTCAAGATGACGTCAACACATGACAAATGCAAATCGGATGAAAACAGAGTTCCACCCAGTGATTCTTACATAAGCGATTACAAATAATTTAATTGATCAAATTAAGATCTGTAAAAGCCGAAAGAATTGTAATTGAATGAAGTATATCTTGGTAAATTTAAATCACACAAATTATTACTAAATGAAGTGGAAATTAAGTTGAAAGCAGGAAAATAGAGTTCTAGTGTCGCGGTGGCAATGCATCGGCGATGTACCGAAATCCTGAGTGTTCGGAAGGATCGCGTGTAGTGTCCATGGCCTCGAAGGCTCTCTTTGAATAAGGACGATGTGGGCAATCTCTAGATCTTCTTGTGAAGTCTAGAGATCAATGAAATGGGTCATTGAATCGTCTCCAGCAGCTGTCACCCGATGGAGTAGAAAAATGACGACTTTGCGGCTCTCCGGCGGCTGTCACCCAACAGAGAGGAGCTGGATGGAGGTAGGCCGCATGTTAGGGAGCTTCATCCTCAAGTCCGCGTAGTAAGAGGAGGCTCTTCATCACATCCGGTACTCTCTCAAGAGGTGATGACTCGTCTCCTAGCAGATCGTCCTCTTCTCGATGACACCTTGTTCATCGATCAATCGGAGATGCTTTACTCGATGGATTCGCGAACCTTTTATTACGAATCATTCAACAATTTTAGTAACAATGCTCCGTGAATCGCATTAACAAGATTTTCGCTGATGATCCAGCAATTTTGGTGACTTAATCCTTCACTAGCGATCTGCAAGAAAGTCACGATAATCAGATAAAAAAATATGAGTTTTGGCTCTGAGAGGATTTGAATCCACGTCGGTTATCTGCTTGCATGAGAGAGATTGAAATAAGTACTCTAACACCCTCATCAAGTGATGTCATCATGATATATCTCTATTATAAATAAGGGGTATTGTAGGTATTAAAATCATCGAAGCCTTTCGAAAGAAGGTGTGACACGAGTTTAGTCCCACATCGCTTGTGCACCGAAGTTTTAGGTGAATATATAGTAATATTATATTTACAAGCAAGTCCTTTTCTCCCACGTGTACGACCACTCCTTGCCCAACAACCGACTAGCCACCGATGACGTAGAAGGGGAGTGGCACACAAGTGCCCCTATTAGCCCTAGCCGCTCAAGCCCTTACTCACGGCTCCTCTCCAACTGCACTTGTGGGCCCAACTAGCTGGCAAATCCCCCTCATTTTGCTATATTTTTATTTTTATTTTTATATCTTTATTTATCTTAAAAATAAGACTGTAAAAATCATATAAATTCATATAAAATCACATAATTAGCCAAAAATTCATGTTAATCAACTGAAAACTATTTTTCACACTTTAACATAAATATAAGTCTATTTATCATGAGTTAAAGCTAAAACTATATTATTTACTAATTATTAACTCATGATAATGAAGACTTATCATCATCCTTACCTTGAGTTAGTCTTAAATTAATTATCACCTCCCCTCTATCTCTAGATCAAGCCAACATCAAGAAGATCAATGCCTTCATTCATGCTCAAGCCAATGTCATGAAGATCAACACCTTAATATGTGCTTAAGCTACCATCAATTGAACAGAATTTGGATCAATTCACATTGTTTCCATTTGACGGATCTAAAAAGAGACGATCTTGTGTGCAAGAGAATCATCTTCATTTGGTAAATTTGCTCCTATTTATTTGAAACTAAATTGTGAGAAATTAGTTTTCCTCAAAAGCTAAAATTTAAGAAGAGAAAAGTGAGAGCTTTCCCAATTGGACCACCTAGAGCCATGAAATCTAAAATGAGATTTGAGAAAGCTCAAGTTAGTTAGAGTTGTAAAATTTAGTTGGTTGTTGAGTTTGAAATTCAGTGCATAAAATACTAAGAAAATAGTTTAACCTAACAATGGAGTCGTTGGAGAGTGATTATAGGTGAAGAGGACTGAACCACTATAACATTGTGGTGTGGTTTTATTGATAATTAAATTTTTGAGTAGAATTGTCTAGAGATTCAAGATTTGTGAAAAAAATAAAAGAGGAATTCACCTCCTCCCCTCTACCTCTTTTGATATCATGTCACCACTTAGAATCCAATAAGGTATAAGATTGACTTGTGAGTGTTTTTTTCCCTATCTCAATATGCGAAGGAACTAAGGACAGAAAAATTAATTAAAGGAAAAAACAAGTTAGTGTCTTGATATTTAGTTGTGTGAGAATAGACCCATGAAATAAAACTATATAAAGGAAATTTGCTGATACCATGAAGGTACCAAGGGTAAGAACCCCTAGTAAGTGGATCTAGGCTAGTGAATGTTGAGCCTTGTGAAATAGTGCATCGATCGTTGACTGTTGATTATTGTGATGAGCTGAACTAGTCAACTCAACATATGGCAGCCCACTTGATCAAAATTGTAAACAATTTAATTCATGCCCTCCCCTTCTAGGTACCTTATTTAATCTACTTTGAGATCAAGAATTACTATTAGACCCCATCTTAGTTAGAAGATTGGAAAAATCTATTGAGGAGTTCATAAGTGGCTAAGCTCTCTAAAAACCTCCTTCACTAGAGAGCTCAAACTACATCTATTGAAAAGTTAGGATGAAAATCTTCATCCAAGCAACCAATCTCAGTGTCTATAAAATCATAGAGATGGGCTGTACATTCTCTCTAAATATCAGATTGACATATCTCATGGAAGCTAGGAAAGAAATGTTATTCTTAAATAGAAAATATAAAGTGATCAGATCATGATTAGGGTGGTAAACCCCACCCCACCCTACCTTTCTCTATAGTTTGTCCTCATTTAAGAAAAAAAGTTATGACTCAATTTTTCTAGCAGAAGGGTACGTGAGGATTTTCTAGAAAGGGGGAAAGAAGAATGGGATACCTAAAACGGATTCGGGGGAGCTCTTAGGCTGCAACGCTTAGGCCTCATCGGCCGTAGATCTTGGGCCTCCATCGCTGGCAGCGGTCCTATTGTCTTACATCAATATGTCAATCTCTGAAATAAATTCTTTGATAACACTTCGTTTATTTGAGGGGTACCCCCGGATCGGGGCCGGTTCAGATTGGACGATTCTACTGGCCACTTCGGCCTCTAGTAGCGCCCGTGCTACCGATATCCACCCAGCGCTTGGAAAATCGGCTCCGAAAGCAGGCCGAGTGTTGGGCCGGAACTGGGCCCAATCGGTCCACTAACTATGTGGGCCGTTTTCACGGGCCCCCATTTGTATAAATACCAAAGGTGACGGCCGCCGCTGAGACACCCCGAAAATTTCCCCCATCGACGCGGCCTTCGGGGAGCTGCCGGCGAGCGGAGCCGGCGGTGGAAAGGAGGGAAGGGGGGTGATAGGGAAACCTCTTCGCGATTTCATCTCGCCGTCTCTCTTGATTTCACTGTTTCAACTTCCCGTCTTCCTCATCTTCTTCTGCGGTCGGGGAGGCCCAGGCGGGTCGCGCCTCGTCAGATGGAGGGGGTCTTTGGGAAGCTGCGGAGTCTAGATGCCTACCCCAAGATAAACGAGGATTTCTATAGTAGGACGCTCTCTGGCGGGATCATCACCATCGCCTCCTCCGTCGTCATGCTCCTTCTCTTCCTCTCCGAGCTAGGTGCGCCCAGCGTTTCCCTCCCCCATTTCGCTTTTCTCGGTCCTGTTCCTAGACACGGTCTTCCTTTTCTCGGCCCTGAATTTTATGTCATTTCCGATGTCCGTATATTCGATTCCCGTTCTTTCCTCTGAAGATTTTATAATTTTATCTGTGTTGGCTCGATATGCGTTCCTGGGAAGGATGGATTGTGTGGATTGGAAAGATATAATTTTATAATTTTATGATTTGCATGACATTCTTTAAACGTTAACGAGGAAAGATAAAAATTCAGAGGGGAGATCGTGCCGTTACGTTTGAAATACTAGATGAGGTTACATGAATGGTGGCCCATTTTTATATTCAATGGTTATTTAATCTGATCCATCTGGATGCAAGCCGAACGGACCCATGCATCATTCAAGTTGTTTAACGCCATAAGATGAAGTGGCAAAACAAAACTGTAAAATTCGTAATTGTATTCATCTTTTCTGATCTCTTTGACGCCATGCTTGATTCCCACATAAAATTTTCTTGTTTAAAATAGAGACAACATTCTGCTTCCACTAGTGACGTCATTTCAATTATTTTTTATGGTTGCATATATGATTTTCAGACAGCAGTCAAAAACTAGTTGACCACAACCCAATGACTTGTTCACTTCGTGAAAACGTGTTATTTTAACTTCCTATCCAAGGAGGCAACATGGAAGTTGTAGATATATCACCTGTAATATTGTCTTCAGACAACTTTACCTATGTCATTCTAGCATGATTGACTTTCAATTGTCTTGAATGTAATCCGCATTTGAGAATGTTGATCCAGCCTATCTATTTTTGAATTGAAGCAAGACTAAAGCTTCACCGTGATCAACTACCTCGCCAGTGGGTAGCTGCAGAGATGTCTTTGTCACATGTGCTGTCTGGTTTGGCCCAGCCATACAAGTTTCATAATATGGTTTGATATCTGATGCAGATGTGATCAACCTTGGTTTATAGTGCAGTTTTAAATAAGGACTAGGATTTTTTTAAAAATGTTTAGCCGAAGCTAATTATTGGATGACTATGAGTCAAAAAGCATGTAACCTCTCATTCCATGTTGTCTTTGACGAGTTGCAGCATCTCAGATGTAAACACCGGACAGAAAAATATTTTCTTGTTTAAAATGGATAAAAGATGAAGAAAAATATCTCCAAAGCTAAAGTCATTTACTTATGATCAAATAAAATTAAATCATGGTTAAAATCATTTTAAGGTTGCAACTCGTTTTTTTACTTAAAACGTTTTTATCTGATCCCATTGCTCTTGTCAAGTTGTAAGTTAAAATGCTTGGGCTTATTGGATTCTATCAGTTTCTGAATCTTGGGGTAGTTTGTGTCCCCAATATTCTTGTGACGCAGTTGTTAAACGTGCTCATTGTGCACTGCGGGAAGCGCTATTGCCATTTTCTGTAAGATAAATACCAATGTTCTAAACTCAGAGGGATATGTTAATTGCAAATAGAACTGAAGGCTGACCACTCTGAGGTTGTTCCAATCATTTGGAATGGCATAATGATTAGTGTGAGGGAAAAGCCACCAAAAATCTCTCCTGGAATCCCTTAAATGGCTAAGTTTACTTTTTAGCACAACTGAAATCCTTGATTTCTCTTCATGACGCATGTATATCTTATGAAGTCTGTAAGCTATGGTCCTTTTTACATTTTTTATTTTTGGCTGTTTCTCTGTGGACACTGTAGGAGTATCTTGCACTTTTCAACCGTGAGAATCAATCTTTAATGTGCATCAGAAGTCAATAACAAATTGAATATAGTGCATCATCTGGTTAAAAGAATATTGATTAATATTATTGAATCTAGCCTGTAGTCCTCTATTAACTAACTATTCCATTTTTTTATTGACTTCATCTATAGATTGACTAGTAGATAATCTGTCATCTTCTCTGCCCTATCTTTCTTCAACATAAAAGTATCTTTGGAACATTGAATGTGGACATGAATGGTTCCATTGATTGGTGGTTTTTCCTTGGGTTATTAGTGGCAGAAACTAAATAATTACCTCCTGAAAGTTTTACATTTATCCCTGAAGCTGGCTGGTCGAATATAACCCTTGGTTCGATCATTTTTGTAAATATCTTTGGCTCCCAGATGGAGAACCTTTGATTTCCATATTTTCTACGAATCCCCAATTTTTATGGTCACTTTCATGCATCTCATCTTATTCTCCGTGATTTCTTTTCTGTTTAAAGCCTGCATCATCCAGTACAAGGGTTTCATATAATCTTGCTTCCAAGTTCCATTGCATTTGTTAATAAGTTTGGCCTTCTGAATCGAAACCAACTTACAGCAAGTCAAATATTCCTATTATTGTAATCACATACTTATTCTCGTAATAAAAATATGGAACTAAACACACCCTTTCCTGCACAAATTGAGTTTTAAACCTTGTCACATATGTTAGGTGTGCATACAGCTTTGACGAAACTATGTTCTATATTACCGTAGTTAACTTATAATTAAATGAGTGGAGTATGACAGGGATTTAATGCCATATTTTTCTGTTCAAGGGATTAATAATGATACCATGAGGAATGTTATTACCCTTAGTGTCCGTATTTTTTGTCAGATTATTAAAATTTTCGTTATATTGGACTTTCGAATCTTTATTTTTTCCATTGCTTACATTCTTGTTAATTCATTTATGAATCTAAATATACATCAAAGTTTTTTATCTTGGACATAGGACTCACAATGAAACAATGATCTTTTGATTGCAGGATTATATATTCACCCCTCTACGGAAACAAAACTTGTTGTTGATACTTCAAGAGCGGAAACTCTTCGAATTAATGTAATGTCCATCTTCGATCCTTCATTTTGTGGTTGTCAATATTCCATAGTTCCTTTATCGTTTTTCTTTTTTCCTTTTTGAGAAATAAACCACTTTCTTCCTTAGGTTTTTTCTAGTCTGGGCATTTACTCTTTTAAGATTTCTTCTGGGTCTTGTATTAGATAAACTTTTTTTGTCTACTCTTGTCATTATAATAGCTATGATAGCTATGATAGCTAAAAACATCTTGCATTCAGCTTTGTTAGAGTTGTCTTTCTTTTCACAGTTTTAGCTTATTTCATGACGGTTGATAACTACGATAGCTATGCTTGATAGTTGTTACATAATTTAGTCATTTCGTTTATATCGTTGCTAGTGCAGTTTGATGTGACCTTCCCAGCGCTTGCCTGTAGCATGCTCAGTCTTGATGCATTGGACATCAGTGGAGAAGAGCATCTTGATGTGGTATGCATTGCAAAATATCTTGATGGCCCATCTTTGCCAATGTTTGTTCTGTTAGAGAAGCATAAGATATCAACTTGTACAATTCTGACCTTTATGATCTTGTGGAAGTTGATTTTTTTTGTTAATCCTTTTCTATGCAGAAACATGATATAATTAAGAAAAGAATAGATAGCCATGGCAATGTAATTGAAGCTAGACAGGATGGAATTGGTGCGCCCAAGGTTAGTCCATTTCTTCATCTCTTTGTATGTAATTATTTCCTGGCCTCACACTTACTGAGAGTAGTTACTCTACATTCAGATGCAAAATTATTTGGCATTTTGGCTGTAAAAATACTGAGCTCAATACAATGAATGCCAGTTTTTAGTAATAGGTAACAAGCTAGAGGCTAGATTATTGTCTCCAAAATCGATGAGTAGTTTGAGATGTAAAACGGCTTTGTAAGTAATCCTGGTTGAGGACTTCACCACTTGCCATCCAATTGTCATAATTTGTTTACAGGGAAAGAGCTGACTAATGACAACATTGGGCAGCTGGAAGCCAAAAATGTGTCAGATTATCTGTGGTTAGATTACATAAAAACGTAATTTTATGTGTCAGATTACACAATGTGTGTGAACATTTTGTGGTTTTGTTCAGCGACAGAAGTATGAAAGCAAGAAATATAGACTTTGCTGTCCTTTTACCTCTCCATGCAGTTCATGTCGCTGGAAAAGAGAAGGGATTCCTGATAGGAATTTCTTCAGTTTAGGACCCCCTATATTATAACCTTACCCACCTCTTTATTGGGTTGTCTTTCATTGTGTCTGATTGTCTTCGGAAGGGAATTGGATGTCATCATTGAGCAGAAGTCATAGGAATATGGATAGTTGGTAGTAGGCCTATCTAACAGAAAGTGTATGGAATAATTTTCAGGCCTCCAATGCTCTCCTTTGAAATGAATTTCTGACGTCTTGTGCATGGTTCCCTAAAGCTTACCCATGTCTGCTGGAGAATGCTTTCTATGTATTCTCGTATGAGTGTGTGTAGCAATTAGCACAAGGCTGTGTTGCTCGAATTTCGTAAGGTCATGGATTAGCGTTGAAGTGTCTAATGATTTATAGGACATAAGTGGAAGAAATCTCAGCAGATAAAGTTTCCAAATCAGGTTTCTTCAAAAGCTAAGGTGGGTCATAGAAGAATGGACGACATGTTGTTGTGGCTGTCTTTTTTAAAGTGGATGGTACCACACAATTTTCTGATAGTTAAAAGGTTAGAGCGCACAAGTGTGTGAAACTGCACAAACCCCATATGCATAAAAAACGGTGAAGGGATTCGTACTTCCAGGTTAAGTCCACTACATTGACAATTGTTCTTCTCAGAGTGTACAATGTTTTGGCATAGCATTTACTAACATTAAAAATCACGTAATTCGCTAGGTCTGAGAACATTTCAGGGAATCATCGGCTAATTCCATCAACCTAGAATGTCTTCTATTAGTTTTAGCCCAACGTACACAGTTGATGAGCAGTCATCTCATTATAATGTCTACTTTTTAGTACTTTCTGTATATGATATCCTCTGAATTTGGGCTTTTCTTTATCTGAATAAAAGTAAAACTTACAGAAATTAAAGATTTTGAGTTTAAGGATGAAAGGAATAAATGTTGAGTTGAGGATGAACGCTAAGAAATGGGTATTCTTCTCAAAGGTTAAAGATAAAAGCTTCAAAGATGGGAAGTGAAGTGGAAACAAAGTAGTATAAAAGATACGTATTGTTCAAACTACTGATGGCGACCAGGTTTTGAAAGAGACGGCTACAGTGAAAGAGATGATCATTAACATTTTTCTAGAATTCTCTTAAAGGAGAAGAGTTTTGGAGACGCCTGCTTGAGGATGTTATCATGCCTAACGAATTTTGACACTTGTTAATTCTTTCTGTCATGATTTCCTTGTGAAAGTCATTGGTAGATCTACACTTTGTTATGGGTTTTCTTGTAATGTTTTGCGTTTTACTTCTAAAAAGTGGTGTCACGTTACCTTCAAAATAATGAAGATAAATTCTGGGATTGAATGACGGATTTAAGGACGAAACTTGTATTCATCTGCTGGTTTTTACTGAGCTACCTAAGGCTATTGCTGATGAGCAAAAATATTTTTATTACTTCAAACTAAGACGCCAGACTGGTCTCACTTAAATTCCTTTACATGGGCAAGTAAATGTTTTTCCTGGATCTTCATCTTCCTTCCTAACGATTTATCCGAATGTGTGGCTTCATTGTGTTCGTTTACTTCATCATATCATAATCTTTCAATTTTTTCGATAGATTGAAAAACCGTTACAAAGACATGGGGGAAGGCTCGAACACAATGAGACCTATTGTGGCTCCTGTTATGGTGCAGAAGTGGTACGTTCACTTTTCCATGTAACCACGATTATTCTGGTGGCAGATACGTGCTGTTATTCCTTTTATACGTTGAAGAATTACATGATAATAAAAAGGGTTGTAATTAACAAGTGCAGCATTCCAGCTGTTGTGTTCCATTTGTTCTTAATGTGAGGTTCGTTCAGTGTGTCAAGTAGTTGTACGACAATATTCTGACATTTGTTTGATAGCTTCATTGTTATCCAGTATTTGAATCGGGAACAATCCTTTCTGATCTGATTTCAAGGGGGTAATCCAAAGTGTCCTCACTGCTCTTCGAACTTCAAAGAGAAAGAAATTCCCTTTCTTATCCAGATTGAATTTTAAGCTCATCGTACTCTCTCCATCTGATGGCCTGTTTTAAGCTACTGAACAATTTAGCCAATTTTAAGCCATCAAAAGTCTAGCACTGAGTGAGAATATAAGAATAGTGAAGAGAAAAAGTCAGTTCCCTTACTCCTTTCTTTAATTCAGGACTTATCGTAGTCGGCTTATGGTTGAATGAGTGTTTTGATAACAACCGTCTGTGTATGAAAAAACTTTCATGACAAATCGTTTTTTTAAATTATAACATTCGAAAATTTAGGCATAAACATATACACATGCATACACACACACAGGTGCCCATATGGAGATATATATATATATATATATATACATATTATGTATGTTTGATAGGATTGCCTTATCTGGTATATGGTTGTACCCACCTGCTCAACGGTCCAGGTTATCTTACTATGCCATGAAATAGTGTGAGGTTCGTTGGCTACCTTATTAACAGCCTTGCGTACAATGAAGGCAAAATCAGAATAGTTCATTTTATCATCCATTTATCATTTTGATCCCAAGAGACTTAGTTCCACGCTTTTATTATCAAATTTTTAATGAAGTATGAAGGCAAGAATTCTAAAACTATTAAACACTGGTCATTTGTGTTTAGTGGAGTGGCTAATAATCATTATAATTAGGTGAGTTGGATGCACAGCAAGGACCGGGAAATGGTTGGCCAAAAAGACTGGTCTGTCAGTTCGTCCCTATCTATTTTTATGTAGGCCAGACTGTAGAAAGATTACGGGACAAAAAGGTCATGCTGTATGGTGTACCTTCATACCTCATTAAAAAAAATTATATGCAAACAGTAGAACTACATGCAGCTAATGGTTTTCACTTTGAACTTCTCACTAACTTTTGTCAGACGGTTTGAGCTACCTAGGCCCAGCAAATCATTGGAGACCACCCCATAAACTTAACCATCGTTGTCAATATTTAGACTATTACAGTAGGGTGATTCTACTTGTACATGATTGCCTTTGTGTGTGCTCTCTCCACCTCAGACAGGAATGATTCTGATGTCATTTCATTTGCAGATGATTGTAAATGCTCTTTTATGTCTTTTCTAGGTTTTTTTTTACTTTGCAATTATGAAACCAAAATACTGGCGAACTATCATTGGTCACAGTTGATGAAAATTACAGATGCTTAACCTTAGCTAATATTTCCTTTCGTATTGCTTTGCTCTATTTGATTCCCTGCCCTTGCACTTTTTGAATGAAGCAGAGTCTCATGCGATTGTATCTTCAACCATAGTGGTAAAAAAAGTAGAGATCATTTGGTTTTGAAATCGTTTTTGCCTTCATGCTATGCTGTTATTCTGCCTTTCATTGTGCTTGATACATTTCTACACTTTTTGGCCGATCATTTCAAATATTTTCATCTATTCGATTTCTGCAGTCTGACGAGGATTGCTGCAATTCATGTGAAGAAGTACGAGAAGCTTATCGAAAGAAGGGTTGGGGAATGTCAAACCCCGACTTGATTGATCAGGTATTTCACAAGGGACTCTCTTTAAAGTCTGATCTGGTAACCAAATTTTATAATGAAATAAACCTCTCAATATGATGTATTGCCTTTACGAAGTCTAAATTATCTTTAAAATTATGCTCGCACATTGTAAAAGATGATGCCAGCTCCTAGTTTTACTGCAGTTTTTGGGTGATGGAGGACTATAATTTAAAAAAAAAAATCCATTCCAACGAAGATGAGGATGTTATTAGCAGCCCGATTAGTTTAACAGAAAAGTGTTATTTTCCATCTTTTTTAAGAAACTGGCAGAATCTAGGTTGCTAAAATTATTGACAGGATTGTTGAAGCTTTTTAGTCACCAACGCGTTTCTTTTTCTTTTTCTGTATTCTACAAACGTCTGGATCTGATTTGAGGTTGTTATTTCCTTTGTTTCTGTGTCAGACTGGGATCTTGTTACAATTATAGGTGTATCCTATGGTCTTTCACCAGCACAAAGTATAATCAGTATAGAGTTCCACCACCAAAAAATGAATAGCATGGATAATCACCGGTTAAGAAGAAAAGCACTATGCTTGCAGTACACTTTTTCATAGGAGGGCCTGTGGAGGCTGTCGTAAGGAAGATTTTTTGATGAAGATTTCAAGCATTAAATAATCCATAAAATGGTATAAATGGGGATGGATCCTAGCTACTTATCAGAGCTTTCAACAATACCGTGGAAAACCTGCGAGGTACTGACTTTTTAGAAGCATAATTTGTCCTTCTGTTGAAAATGGTTGAAACCCTAGGCTTTTGGAAGGCAAGTATGGACAGGTACAGACCTTTTTTTTGGCTGGAGGAATGTTGAACAAAAAATAGAGTAAGAAACAAATTCCTTATTAAACAATCCCCAAGACGTGAGAAGAACATCTCTTGTTCCCCATAGTATAACAAACAGTGGAGGATGCCAAAAGCGAAAGGCTGCAGCTGCCTGAGCTAACCCAACTGCAAGCCGAGCTGCTAGAGATGCTACTTTGCCCCCCTCTCTAAACATAAAGAATTGTATGTCATTCCGCAGGAGGAAGTGGTTCGTTATATAGAATGGCTTCAGGCCACTCTCAGTCCATCTGGATAATCAAATAATAAACAAATATAGACAACGAAAGCACATAGCCGTCTAGGACACAAAAAACCTTGGAATAATCCATTATGGCACTAGAATTATACCTGGCAGGAGTTCTACTATTCCTCAATCATCAACAAACAAATCTTTCCTAATGGGCTACCCATAGTACCGTTGTCCACTATTCCATAGGATAATCATAGGCAGACGGTTGAGAACAGTTCCATATTATTTACTACAAAAGAATGCCTATAATAGTAAAAATGGGCCTATCCCGTTTACTGACAATTGATTTTGAGATGGACAACCCAATAACTTAAGCATGATGGCATACTCGATGATTGCTCTTGTGCTGCATGAACACTTTATCTGACTTCATGACAAAGACGAAAAGTCTATATATAAACTTCAGACATAAAGATGGGTTCATTCCTCTCATTGCTAACTGGTTTTAAGTTGGATGTCCCAACAAAATTAAATAGATGTGAATTCTGCCGTCCAGTCATAGTGATTAAAACATTTCAATAAGACCAAATATTCTAATTAAGAATTTTGCCAATGAATATTAACTTTCTCGTTACAAGAGTATCCCCCACAAGATCTGTTTTTATAAGAGTACAACGTAGACCTTGTGGGGTAAAACTGGTCAACAAGGAAAACAAAACACAGTTACACCTTTGTCAGTAAGTGTCAGGTACATATTATTGGCCAGGAAAATGTCTCTTGGCCAACAGATCAAAATTATCATATGCCTCCTGCTTGCAAACTCAATTTGAACCGAAGTATCTTTTCCAAGAAAAGACCTGGCCCAAGTCTAGATGAAAACACAGATGATGGCCTCTGTCTTAGTTAGTTGAGATCCTGGCATCACTTTTATCTGTTTTATGAAGGCTTTAGTCGGTAATTTTGTCAAGACTGCCAAGATGATAATGGTTTGGATTAGACATCTCAAAATTTGTTGTCTCAAAAGGCCATATGTAATCATTATTACCGATGGTTAATGATTTTCTGTCTCCTAGTAGTTTTCTTCGCTTGTATTCCCCTTGGTTTTTAAATTTTGCAGCAATAGTTCTGGAAATATCAGCTGTCAAATTCAGCTGTTACCCTGGTTTTGCCCTATCACTTTCATCTGTCAAACCGTGCAGTGCAAAAGAGAAGGGTTTCTTCAGAGAATCAAAGATGAGGAAGGTGAAGGTTGTAATGTCTATGGCTTTCTGGAAGTCAATAAGGTGGCGGGAAATTTCCATTTTGCACCTGGGAAAAGCTTCCAACAGGCAAACGTGCATGTACACGACTTGCTCGGATTTCAAAAAGATAGCTTCAATGTAAGATTGCTTCTTTTCTGCCTAACTTTTCCCGCCTCAGCCTCTTGGGTTGTGTCATTTGTTTGAGGATCTTGCCTCAGTAAGCCCGACTCAGGGCTCAAAAGCTCACTATTACCTCTGATAGTTTATCAAAAACAGCCGAGTTTCCTCGTCATCCTAAAAAGCTGAGTTGAGGAACGAATTCTAATTTTATCTTGTGAAATAAAATTTTAAATGATTTTACATCACATGGTGCTCTCCGATTAATCATATATTGGTTTTCGTTGACGTGTCTTTTATCCATCTCGATGTGCCAGATAAGTCACAAAATCAACAGGCTCACTTTTGGAGAACATTTTCCTGGTGTTGTTAATCCTCTTGATGGGTAATACTCTTTTTTCTGATTGTTTGGCATGTTGCCATTTAAGGCTCATGGTACTCTTTAGCTTTCCATTTCTGATGTCGAGATCAATCGTGCATTTTAACAATAAATTATCATACCCTCAGGGCCCAGTGGGTGCAACAATCACAACATGGAGTTTATCAGTATTTTATTAAGGCAAGTGTCACGTTGGTTCTTTCATGTGCTGTTCTTTTCTGGAACATTTGTAGTAACTAGAGCTCCGAAGCACTGCCTGAGCAGACTTGCTCACAATTTTGCCTCTTTTAGGTTGTTCCTACGGTCTACACCAACATAAACGGGCATGTAATTCAGTCAAATCAGGTGAGGCCCTGAATTCGAATCTCTGAGATCATCAGAATTTTCATGAACTTTCTTTGTTTGTTGCGAGATGGTATGATATTCTTTCAATCATGCAGTTCTCTGTGACGGAGCATTTCATGAGTGAGATTGTCCTTCGCCAGTATCTTCCTGGGGTGTTTTTCTTTTATGATCTTTCTCCGATCAAGGTAAACAATCATTGTGCCATCATTCAACTTGTTCCTCTGCCTCACGCTGGGGACTTGCATTTCGTGTTCAACCTGCCCAATAAAACAAACATTTTTCTTTATAACGTTTTAGTGAGCATTGAAGCAATTCTCAACTGATTTTCTCCAGTTTTTGGTGATAGACCATGCCATTGGGGTTATCCAAATATATCTGAGAGTTTGTGACATTGTTGTGTTGACCATGATCGGCCTACTATTTTGGGAAGGTTGGGTTGTTTTGACTGATCCTACCACAAAGGTGAACCTGTGGTGATAAAATGTGCTTACTCAACTCGTTGCTATTTGGTTGTGTGGTAATAATAAGAACTGATGACTATTCTTATTGGACATCTATTAGTATATATACAAAAAATATGGCTACTCATCTATTTTTAACCAGTTTTGAGATGGATGAACCCATAATTTTAGCATATTATCCGAGGATGGTTGACCTTGGTCTCCACACACCCGAACTTCAGAGTTGCCTCAGATTGTACCCCACTCTTTCCCAGTTGACTTTAGAGGTTATGGCCTGACAACCTCAACCCAAACCATCTACGGTGATTGAACTGAAGAGATGCAGAATGCTTTTCCTCTCTTCTTGACAGAACGGAGTTGTATTTTTATTTTTATTCTAATTTTAGTCATGAGTGTTCATGATCATAAAGCATGATGCCTTGTGAGTATGATTAAGAATCCCAAGTGATGAATGGAGATTCCCTCAGGTGACTGTTACAGAAGCTCACGTCTCGTTCTTACACTTCTTGACAAACGTCTGCGCCATTGTTGGAGGTTGGATTCTCTCTCCTCTTCATGGTTTCTCTGCCGTGATTCACTCCAGGTTCATAGATGATCTCACGGCGCCCTTTTCTCCCTACCTTCAGGTGTCTTCACTGTGTCCGGAATACTGGATTCTTTTGTGTATCAGAGTCAGAGGGCCATCAAGAAGAAGATGGAAATCGGAAAACTCAGTTGATGATCTCTCTCTCTCTCTCTCTCTCTCTCTCTCTCTCTCTCTCTCTCTCTCTCTCTCTCTCTTTCTCTCTCTCTCTCTCTCTCTCTCTCTCTGACGGGCTTCGCGTGGGTGAGATTTCTGTGAAGTCAATCAAGGAAAGCTTCGTTTTTTCTTCCCCGTGCCTTTCTTCAATCTTTTGGCCTTGTGGTTCTCATCAAGTGTATGGGTCAGGACTGTACATGAGAAATTCCCAACGGGTGTATCTTATTAGATATGAACAGAAAGGTTACTGATGAGCGGATTTTTTTTCTGTAGGTATTTCCTTTCCTTGTTTTCCTCTTTCTCTCTGATAATATCCTAATATGGGCCATGCTCCGTGGCCCATCTCCCTTGTCTGGCCGAGTCCAAGCCCATCAAGTATTTTTTCTCTTATTTCCGTGGGGTCCGGGCCTGAAGAGAAGCCCGGAAAATGGCTGCCGCCCGGCCCGGCTGGCCAAGCCACATGGTGAGGAGTACGGGAAGAAAGGGCGTTGGGGCCGCCATGTGACTGACTGGCCACTGACAGGAGCATCAATTGAATAGCTTCTCTTCTCTCTCTCTCTCTCTCTCGCTCTCAGCTGAGTTACGTCCATGAACGAAACCCATGTCTGGCAAGTTGCCGAACCCAGCCAACTGGGCGCATTGCTTTCTTTCGTGTCCTGGGGCATGCCTCCCCCCGCCCCATGATATGGGTTCTGATTCTCTCAATCTCTTTATCGAATTGGTCGGCCTGAAGCCTCCGGGTACGGTGCATAATAAATGCGAGGTAGACGTGGTAGGGCGGGGTAGCCTGCGTATGATTCTTGGCGGAACAAGCAAGCCACGCGGACCGAGCCCAAAGCGGTGTGAACTCTCGGAGGAATTCCTCTCCCTCTCCACGCCTGCCTTTTGCGATCTTGCCTCTTATTCTTATTCATCCCATACCTGCCAGCGGTGATTGAGTGTCGAAGAGAAAGAGCTCGAAACACATGGGTCTTAATGTAATATATTACTATGAATTTAAATAATATCTATATGTCTAGAGAGAGAGAGAGATAAATTGGGTTTATGACAATGAATTAATTTGGTTGCTTCTACTCGCAAGATAAGAAGAGGAATCGAGGGAATTCCACAGAGATGCTGATGGGTCCCTTCTTATCTTATCACTTGGCCTCTCCTTGTACCGAGAGGGTTGAAGCAGAGAAGAGAGAGAAAGACGAGTTCCTTTCAGCCTACCATTGACAAATTTTAGATACTGTTTCGGACGCAACCCAGATCTCTCTCTCTCTCTCTCTCTCTCCCTCTCTCTCTCTTCTCCATCACATTTTATCCTCCGACAGAGCCGTCAACCTAACTAGCTCGTCTTGAAAAATCTTCATTTTAAAGAAAAATATATGTACTTGGATCAGGAGGATCGACAATCTTGAAACAACTGGAGACTTCACGTAGATGACGACACTTACAGACCCCTCGCTATGCGCGAGTTCATCAAGACTCGAAAAACCCCATCTTGATCTTCTTCTTCCTACATCGCCCCTCCTCGTCCTCCCTCCGTGGCTTGGCTGAGAAAAAGGCCGGCAAAACCACAGGGAGGAACCGACCGAGGGGGAACCCTAGAGGCCATGAAGCTGTTCTTCCATGGCGGACGCTCTGCAGTCGCGATCCCGAAAAAAAAGGATCCTCTGCAGCATCGACGGACATAAAAAAAAAAAAAACCTAGGGAAGAGCTACACAGAGAGGAACATAGGGGGAGGGAGACGACCGGATCAGGAGAGGATAGCATCCCAGTCGATCTCCAAGGAAGGGTACTTGCCCAGCGGCAAGCTCTCCGATTCCCCCCACGCCGGATCCGAGAAGTCGAGGGTCTCCATCTCCGACGCCGGCGAGGAGTTTCCGCTCTCCGGCGAGAGGCTCAGGTGGATCTCCGACTTGGGGTCCGCTTCGTCTCCCGTCGTCGCCGGCGCCGCCGCGACCTCCTCCTCCTCCCCGCCGCCGCCGCTTCGGGTGGGGGCTGGCGGCTGGTTGGAGGCGGCGAGGGACTCGCAGATGGCCTGGAGCTTGGCGTCGACTGCTGAGGGGAGTGGGCTGCCGCCGCTGCCGCTGCCGCTGCCGCCGCCGGCGAGATCGCCGGAAAGGGAGTCACAGCGGCCACGGAGGTCGGGGAAGTTGAGACGGGCGAAGTCGCCGCGGAGCTTGTACGCCGCCCTGTCGTACGCCAGCGCCGCCTCCTCCGCCGTGTCGAAGGTGCCCAACCAGAGCCTCGTCCTGTTCTTGGGGAGCCGAATCTCCGCCACCCACTTCCCCCAGTGCCGCTGGCGAACCCCTCTGAACAGCCTCGCGCCGGCGCCGGACTTGACCAGCGGCGGAGATATCGCCGCCGCCACCCCGGAGTGCTTCATGGGCTGTCCCCGGGGGCCCAGGAAGCAAACCTGGCGGGAGGTGCTGTGGGTCTGAATCTGCCGGAGCTGGGCGGCGCTAAGGTGGGCGAGCCTAAGCCGGCCGTCGGCGAGGTTGACGCCATTGCCGGCGGATAGGAACTGCGAGAGGAAGGAGCAATCTCCCCGGGGGAGCTGCTGGGAGGCAGCAAAGGAGTGAGAAGGGGAGGAGGGGTAGAAGGATGGACAGGAGGGAGAAGGAAAAGCAGAACAGGAGAGAGGAGGGAAGGAAGAGGGCCGAGAAGGAGATGCAGAGGCGAAGGACGAGGAAGAAGCGCAGTGAGGTGAGGCGGTGGAAATGGAGGGAGAAGGACCCGTGGGGATGAGGGGCTCCAGGGCCTTCATGAGCTCCTCCTTGAAGGGGTCATCCGAGGAGAAAGACGGCGGCCAGCTGCTATTATACATATCTATAGCTGCTGCCATTTCCCTTCCAGGTGTATGCTAAGAAAATCACAGAGACGAAGATCCAGAAAACAAGAACAACAACAACAACGCTCGCAAAATGATATTTTTATGAAACAGGGTAACATAGAAATATGAAAAAGTTTCGTCGATCTATCGAACCACGCCAAGTTCTGAAGCAAAATCAAAGAACGGCGGGTGACGACCCTGAGGGATTCGGAAAAACAAGCCCTCGAGAGCGATCGACGAACGAAAATAGAAAAAAATGAGAGGAAAAAAAAACCGAAAAAAAGGGAACCCGGAGCTTCCTTCGCCTTCCTAGAAATCTGAGCAAAAGGGAAAGAAAACCCGCACCAATCCCGCCCTGACCCACCGTAGACCTTCTACCTCTCTTACTTTCCTCTCGAGCAGAAGAGACGGAAGATCACAACAGAAAGGGACTCCGAGAAGCGGGATCTAATGAAGAAGAGAGGGGGGGAAGGGGAAGGGAGAAGGAAGAGGATTAGAAAGAAGCAATCAGAGGAAGAAGTCGCTTGATCTTAGAGAACCAGGGAGGGCACGCACCAAAGATCTCACCTTTTCTCTCTTCCTGCCTGCTTTCTTCAAAGCCCTCCCGCTGGAGTGCTTTCTTATAGCCCGCTCTTCCTTGTCCAGTCTCCTCACCCGTCATCTATCCGGTCATCCTCGATTAGCCTCACCGTCGCTCACTTATTGTGGCCAGTCTCCTCTTACCAGTCAGACTGGCGATCAGGTCATCGTTCAGTAGCCTTTTGACGCGTGGCAGCTATTTGAATTGTACTACCGGCTGGTGTCGGTATAGTGTGCTTTTTGGAATTAACACTAACCGAACCATCGGTTAGCCAAGTTATTTTGCGCCGCCATCCACTCCTCGCGGCTCACCCGGCTGTTGGAGCTTACCGCCACGAGCCGAAGCGGTGACCAGACCATCCACCGCCGAGCAGGAAGGATATTGCTTAGCCCAATTCGTGATTATGCCCAGTTAAAAATAAATTAAATAAAAATAGGACTTTTCACCCGTCTCAGTCAAAGCGGCATTATAATCATTAAAATTCATTAATAATATAGTCATTAAAGATAGCTTAGCACTTTATAATCATTAATAAAAAATATATTACGAAATAATCGAACCCACACTTTGGATATAACCGAAACATATGCGTGTTAATATGATGTTACTAAACCCAGAGGTAAACCCAAGAAAATAAAGCGGGCTGGGCAGGGACGGGCCGAGCCGGGGTTCTTAAGCTTTACTGAGGCCCGGCGCGTTGAGATCCCATTAAGTGGTGAGGCATTATCCTCTTTATCGCCGCAACGGCTACGGTAATCCGCAGGGCCGCTGTCACGCGTGGAGCCCTCTTCGCGTGTTGCGGCGGGAGATTCCTCTCCCGCTTATCGGACAAAAACCCTCTACCGGTGGAGACGAATGTGGGAGGTGAGCAGAAGCCAAGGCCGAGAAGCGGTGACGAGAAGCCCACTCACCCAACTGCCTCACCCACCACGAGCCCGTCTTATCTCCACTACGCATTAACTTGTCCTTTTGCCCCACAGTCAACGCCGTTAACAACAGGATAACGGTTCGCGTCACCGCCAGCAACTAAACCTAACCTTGACCCCAGACAAAACTCTAACCCTGGTCATCGATATAATATTTATAAATTTATCGTAAAACTAGATGATAGACATGTGTATCGTCACCGACGGGTACGATTACTCACCATGCAGCCCAGCTCACCTTATCCTAGTTTGTTCTCCGGTGAGTCGTCTTCCCGATTCTTCGAAACGGCTCGGCTTCTAATCCCCCCATGGAGCCGCGGGATCTTTCGGGACCAGTGGACGGCCAGATTCGATCCGATCGGCTGGCGTGTCCATCAGCCGCATTCTGTTGGTCCACATATCAGTCTCCCCTTATGACGCGTGGCCGGTCGACGTAGACACTCCGCCAGCGCCGGATCGTTTCATTTGATCCGAAAACGCGGTTTCTCCCGGCGGTACGCGTAGCGTCAGTATTCCCCGCGTCGGCGGCGGGGCCCCTCCTGCGCGCAGGTGAGGATTTAATGAGGAGACGAAGGCGCGCCATCGGCAGGTTGGTGCCGCATTCAATGAGGACGGTCCACTTCGGAGGCCCATAATTCAGTGAGATCGCTTCGTCAAATATTAGTATGAATCCTTGAACGTAATAAAGCATAGGAAGATGGCCCAGAAACTCTTTCTGGGAGCGCACCTCCGGCTTCAAGCCGGGTGGTGGTGATCAGTGCAGGTGCATGCAGGCGTTGGCGTCGGCACAGTGCGGCGCCCACGGTGCACACGCGCAGAGACGCGCGGCGACACCGCTCGGCAATGCGGGCAATAGCGGCGCGTGCACAAGCACACACGGCTGGGGCAGACCATTGAGGCAGGGCAAGATTCAGTGGAGGTACTCTTGAACCTCATAAGCAGAGCCCACGCAAGCAATGCATGCGTTGGCACGGCCATGGCATAGCATGACACGTAGGAAGTTGTGTTCACTGAGCCACACACGTAAACTTGTGGAGATCTAGCAAGAGGACTCTACCAACGTGGATTTGGATTTAAGGTCGCGTCCAGCAAACTCCGGAGGGTGGTGGCATGATGGTGATTCATCCTAGCACAGAAATGCTGCGACCTAGCATACTGCAGCGCAGATAACACCGCGATGCTTGTGCAAGTGACCAGGTCATAACAGGGATAGCATTCATATCCATAACTAGGTGAAGAGGAATGAGGAAAGGACGCACCAAGTATGATTCGAGGACGAGCCAAGGGCGAGTCGAGGCGAGGGAGCGGAGGGCCAGGGACTCCGCAATGACCCATAGCCGCCATGGGACAAAAGTTTCTATAACGAGATTGCAGCTAGGGGCATCAGGATAGTCCCATAGCTTGAGGAAAACAACGGTGATGAGAGACATCAACGAGACAAGGCTCCTACCGATCAAGGGGGTTGCGAGATGAGAAGGCCATAGTCATGACCTACCTCCCAGGAGGGGTAGCGCATCGGAGTAGAAGAGTAAACAGAAGAAGAGAATCAATCGATTTGGAAACCGTAGGATTTTGTGTACAGCTTTTTTCATGAAATAAAAAAACACCTTATAATATTTTAAATTAGAGATAGACCATCTAAATATTACGAAGCTATTGACAACATGAAGTACTCCACAACATGAAGTGAAGTTGCTTAGGCATTGACAAAGGCAATTAAGTCAACATAAACAAAACAGACAGAATACATTTACCTTAACTCTTGGAGTATTAAATACATGATATTTTAATGATGACAAACAATTATAAGGTAAATTATAATATCGAATTATATTTAATTCAAAAGATGCATAATATGAGAGTGAATGGAGAAATGTTTAAATATAATCCAAAATAATATTAGTAAAAGTTCAGATATAAACTTGTCAAGTATACTTATTACCAATAATACTAAACATATTGAATTGATTAATTACAACATGAGGATATTATTATTTTCTTATATTATTGAAGAAACTATTAGAATTTATAGAAAGTAATGCAATAAGAAATGAAATAATTAAGGCACTCAAATCAAGAATAGTTTTTAAAACAAGATATAGATGTGAAAACTCACTTAGTCATTTATGAACTCATATTTTTTCAATGTTAGTTTCGAACTATTTTAATACTAAATTAAATGAATAAATTTAAATTATTTATTTAGTCCAATATGATTTTTCTGATATTAAATAATATACTTTAAATTTTTTTAGATATCTTGAATCACTAACCTGATGATTAAAAATATTAAGATCATGAGTCAAGATGTTGACAATTATATTTTATTTAAGATGATTAAATTAAGATTTAATTGCTTAATGATCACTTTATCTAGATACTTGTTATCAATACTATTTTAAGGATATTGGATCTTTACAGTCTTGATTGAACTGATCTAATTCAGATATAAACATTAAGCATTAAAGAAATAATATATTAGCTTCATGTAAGGATATGTTGATCATTTAAAGGATATATTATATTAGTCCTTTAGTTGTTTGAATTAATCATATTTTAGAAAAAAATAATTGAAAATTCAAAAAAAACTAAGAAATTTTCATATGAGATTTGTCTATAAATTCTATTGTCTTGCAATGGCTCAGTAATAAGACAATGATCATCCTTATTGTTTCAATGACCTCCAACTTTACATTAAGCTTTTCGTGTAAGAAATTCAAGTAAGATATTGTCAAGATCATGCTAGTAAATCAATCCATTTGAAAGTATTAATTTGAGAAGCAAAATTAGAGTATTGAAAATCTTATTTGACTTATTCAAAGTTTAAGGAATCATCTATCAACAACTAGTAATCTGACATGAAGAAGAAAATGATTTTAAGCTACCAAATGTCAGCCTTCTCATTAGAATTCTATATATACTCAAAGTTGACATTATCCTTTAGAAAACTACCCATGATGAAATCATTTTATATTTATTGTAAGATAAACTTTTGATTCAATTATAACTTATTCACTCATTGAAGTTATCTCATTAAATAGTTGTTGGACTTCTAAAGTTGTAGATTTAGAAAAAAAAAATTAGAGTGAAATATTATGAGAGTTGAGCTCATTAATCCATGGTGTGTGATCAGACAATCATACTTAGTGAAATCTAATAACATAGATTATTATTAGAGAGTGGACGTAAGTAGAAGTCCAAAGTAGTATAAAATATTGTGTTTGTGCATGACCTTTGTTTATGTTTTAGAGAACTAAGGATCAATAGAAAACCCTTTGTAGCATTAACATAGAATGATCAGAGAAGAGAGTTAGAAGTGAATCAATTTAACATCTTGATTCTTGTGTGGGTCAAAACCCAACATTAACCTCATAATAATATGCCCAACCTGCATACTAAACATTTTGAGGGTGGATGAGATAGCCGAACAAGTGAGGATTGACATTTTGAAAGCATTTGAATATTTTCTAAATTTATTTTCAACTTAGTTAAAAAAAATTTTATTACAAACTAAGATTCAATGAGAGGCTTTTAATCAAGTATGGTTTAAAGAGCTTATCTTGTTTCTAATTTCATGTCAGCCTTGGATGCCTTCACTAATGTTAAAACTTGTAAAGTATGGCCTACTCTCAAAATATTCAATCTTAGGGCTCTTCCTATTTTAAACCCACAACATGCACCCTCCTTTCAAAATGAGGCTCTCCTTATTTGGGGGAGTGGTTGACTTATTTGAGATGCTACCTTGTCTCTTTAATAGGTTGGTATGTATACAAGATTACTATGTCATCCAATAATTCCATTGCAACATATTCTCCCACTCCACACAAGATAATTGTGTATGTGTCTATTTGATAATCCAATTGGTTGATATGTCTATTCAGCCAAGTCTACCTCATCTTGTGTGTCTTCATTTTGTATTTATCTATATTGTCTTCAATTAGCATCCATCAATCTTGACTTATTGTGCATAAGCAAGCCCTGCATACCTCTACACATGTCATGTTGACACTAAAATTGCACACTATGATCGTATATGTCATGTTGCATGACCACTGTGTGATGTGCAGATTCCTACTCAGTCTTGTGTTAGTTGTGTGGATCAAATCTAGGTCTAGAATGTAGGGCTTTCCTCACACACTCTCACATTGTGAATCTAACATCTTTGTTGAAGGGTTTTCCTCATGTATTTGTTGATAAGGCTCTCAAACTACCATATTGGCACTATAGACATTTCCCTATCACATTACATTTTCTTCTGAACTTTCCTTCCACTTTAGAGTTTTCCCACTGCCAAAAAGTAAATGTGCTAATTTGTGTGGAATTATCCTCCCTTATTGATCTCTTTGTGACAAAGTATGACCTAAGGCTTAGTAGTGAAGTGACTATGTATTATTGATGGAGCCAATTGAGGATTATTCTGTTCTTCATACTCTTTGTTTGCTTAGTATGTCTTGAACATCAAAACATAAAAGATTGGGTGGATCATAAATATGCTTAACAAATTGAGATAATGAACTACTTGCCTACCAAAATCACAATGTCAAAAAGTCTATCAAAGTAGGGTGTCAACTTATGGTGTTGTTTCATCTTTGTAACGTTCTGATGCAATGCAGTATTGAGTTGTAATAAAACTTGATTGCCGACATTAAACTTTACTTCACATCAATAGTATGAAAGTATGAAAGTATAATTCCTTGTATTCTCATTTGAAGATGTAAGGATTTTTTATTTGGATTTTTGGGGGGAGTTCAAATCAAAGAAGGATTTTTTACTTATTACTTACCTCCCTTATGAATTTTCCCTTATATCCATTATTCAATAAAAAATTAATTATCTCTAAAAACAAATCTTTGTTATGCTTAATATATTTTTGAATTTAATCTGTATCTGTCTTAATTCTGCCCTTTCTTCAAGTAGTTTTTTCTTCGGAAAATTACTAATAATCTTTAAGTATCAAATAAAAATAAAAATGGGGCGTCGCCAAGCGGTAAGGCAACGGGTTTTGGTCCCGCTATTCGGAGGTTCGAATCCTTCCGTCCCAAATCCATTCTTCAGAATCAAAATAAAATGCAAAACTTCTAGGCATTCCGTTTAATTAAAGCTTAAAGTAAGTGAATAGGGTATTATACACACTCTATGTATGGAGAGACTAAACGAAAGAATAGAGGTTTTTGGAGATAATTCTATTACTTTACTGGTTTATAAAACTGTGATCTATAAAACTTCTCCATCTAGTGCACTGCACACACCAACACCTTGCATAACTCAACTACATACTTGTCCTACCTATGAAAATCAGTACATAGCTAGACAACATGCAAGCACAATCTACTTCACTAACTGCTTTGGTTGTCCTGCCATCAAATTACCCTTTTTCTATTACTTGCTAACTCAAACGGTGGTTGTCTTGAAATAAAATTTTGATGAAGATTGTAAGAAAATTGAGTGGTGTCTAACAAATCAACCTAATTTTCTTGGTGTCACGTGAGTTAAGTGCTGCAAATACTCAAGCATATCATTTATCCTCTCTGCTTATCCATCAGTCTATGAGTGAAAGCTAGGTGTCCATTTGCTTGAAGAATCTATACAAAATTGATTGGTGAATCTCATATCTTTGTCATTTATAATATCTTCTGGCATGTTATAGCTTCATCACATTCACTATGCAGAGGCATGCCACTCATTCAGTTAAATTATATATTTGTGTTGCAAACACAACATACTTTAACATAGATTCACAATCACAAAGATCACATTGAGATCTCTCACCATGATAGGCCAATGAAAATCTATTGAAATAAATTTTCATGGTCAATGCGGAATAAACAAGTAGCTCCAGTGTTCCAAATAAAGCTCTCCTTATTTGGGGGAAGGGCAGTTGCCTCATTTCAATCATCACCCTGCCTCTTTGGTAGATGGGCCTACATATGGGATTACCAAGTCGTCCGATAATCTAGTCGTAGCCCATTCTCCGACTATGCAGGGAAACTCATATTCGTGTTCATTGCATAGTCTAACTATCGATTCGATGTACACATTCTGCCCAATGTCTTACATGCCTCCGCACACCTGTCACCATGTCGTGGTATCCTCAATTCCCACAAACGACTATAGGGCCCTCTTTCTTGAACTACATATTGTGCACATATGCACCCTGCACACTTCTACACATGCCACGTTGTCATTATGCTGTGCACTACTGCCGTGTGTCACACAAATCTCCGTCCAATCTCATACCAACACTGACGATCAGTTGCCGAATCCAAGATCCCCTAAATTAGAGGAGTCACGGTCTCCATAAGCTCGTGTTAAACTTTATAACTGAGTTTACACAAGCCGTTTCACTTCTCTCCATCTGTAGAAAATTCAATCCCAAGAATGGGTCTACATCTCCCCGAGCGAGAGAGAGAGAGAGAGAGAGAGAGAGAGAGAGAGAGAGAGGGAGAGAGAGATTTTATATTCACATAGCAGGAGTCCAAAGCATGGACCATCTGTAACAAGGATGCTGCGTGCCTGCCTGCCGTGCGCGATGAGCTGTTGCTGGGGTCAGTCCCTGCAGGTAACACCATCGGCTAGTTGGATACATACAGGCGACTCCGGGAGGGGGGAGAGGGCCCCTTCGCCGACCGAGTAGTCGAGGGGCGAGGGGGGGGGCGGGGGGGGGGAATCAAAAGAGGGAGTCCAGGTAGTGGTTGGGGCGGGTGCGCCTGAACTCGAGGAGGCTGCCGTAGGTGCGGTCGGCCACGCCCACGAAGAGGGCCTCCGTGTCGGGGCTGAAGGACACCCCCGCGATCTCCCCGAAGAAGTCGATCTCCTGCGCCCGCCCATACCCGGCCCCGCAGTCGAACACATGCACGAAGTCCACCGCTTCCGCCGCCGCCATGAACCGCCCCTCCGCCGTGAACTTGATCCCTCTGATCGCCCCCATCCTCCCCCGAAGCACTGCCATGGCCCGGGACGGATTCCTCACGTCCCACACCCGGCATGTCGTGTCCTGGCTTCCCGTCACCACCACGCGCCCGTCCGGGTGCCACGCCGACGAGAAAGAATAGTCCAAGTGGCCCTTCAGCCGGTGCAGCACCTGCACAGAAGCGCCACCGCCCCCTCCGCGTCAGATCACCTTCCTCTCCGGCGCCAGCGACGGCGACGTCAATCGAGTAAGTGCTGACTTACTTACCTTTCCCGACTGCGGATCCGCGAGGAGGCAGTCCACGGTGTCCCCGAGTACGGCGGCGAGCTTCCCGTCCGGGCTGACCGAGGCGCTCTGCAGGGGACGCCAGCGGGGGACTTTCAGAGACCCATAGAGAGCAGAGAGAGAGAGAGAGAGAGAGAAAGGAGGAAGGGACTCACGTTGACGGACCAAGGGAAGGACAGCTTGGTCAGCAGGGAAAAGTCATCGACATCGAAGATCCTCACTTGGCAGTCGTTGTTGGCCGTCATCAACCGGGTGGACCCACTGCGCCGGAGGAAGAGGAAAGGGGGGCTAAATGGGTCAGCGAGGAGGGCCCACTGGGGAGTCATCGAGGTTAAATGGAGGGGAGGTCTGACCTGGGGCTGCTGTAGATGTCAACGGCGTTTGTTATGGCGTTCTCATCGGTGGTCAGATTCGAGCAGAATGCGACGCCAGGTCGGTCCAAGCGCTGCGCAGAAGAGACCATCGTCAGTCAAGAGGGAGAGCGGCGGGGATCAGGCCCGCGCGGCTCTGATTGGCTGGTACCTACCTTACAGACGAGTTCTCCTTGGAAGCCTCCGACGGCCATCAGCTCGTCCTTCACGGCCATGGTGCTTATCTGGACTCTCGAGAGCGGTTGACCCGTGGGCCCTCTGCGATTCTGCAGAACCTCCGCGGGTCAAGAGGAAGACCAAGAAGGGGAGGACCCAGCAAGAGTGTGGGCAGGTTGGAGAGCGGGGGATACTGACCCGAGTGGAAGGTGGCGGTGGCGAGACCTGCCCGGCGACGTTAAGGACTTCTTTCCCCCTTCTGAGCACGGCGGACCAGTGGATGACGGAGTAGTTGCGCATGAGGTAGACGTCGTGCTTGGATGTCGCCCATACCAGATTCCTCAGCTGGAAAAATGGAAAACATGGGTCACAACTAAACGAAAGCAGCGGTTGTGAGGAAGATCTTCGGCGTCGGAAAGCTAGTCAAGAATGGACATTGAAAGACGATCTGTCCCCAACATGATAATTAGCGAAAACAAAGAACATGCACACACACACACACACAAACACACGCACTCCCTCTCTCCCTCTCTCTTAATGCCAGCATGCTCTAATCAAATAAATGCCAATCAGAGATGAATGACTAGTTTTGAAGAGAACAAGAACGGGGACATTCAATACCCGGGGTCGAACGGCTTGAGAGAAGAAATAAGTAATCTGGATGAACACCCGTGAGTTTGCAGACAAATATACACAGCAAGATAAAGCTATCAAGATACTACGATATCAAATATCATAGCCGGTGCAGGAACAAAGTCCGGCAAGTTCTTAGAGTACTAATCAGGTTTCCTCCTGTCCCAGAAAGAGCAGAAAAAGTTAGGGGCACATCTTCCATAAGTACACCTGTCAGGACCAGATGATTTCCCGCCATGCAAAGGTCTCCTTCAAGCTTCTGTTGGTCAAGATGGCACTTCCACCAGCTTTTAATGCTGTCATTACAAATTATATTGCAGTTCTTTCCTAAATATCACAGATGAGCTATTAAAACGCACATCAAATGATTAGCAGTTAAGATAACGAATGTATCAAAGCCACAATGATATCTGGATATTAACTGACAGACAACATATTAGAAACCTTTGTTTATCATTGTGAATTGCGAAGTTTGACGCTCAAAAGGAATTCCATGCTGAAGAAGAACAAGACAGTAATCTGCAGAACAAGGCAAATGGAAGAAGAAAACTTGACGTGTATGAGGAAGAAGGGCACAATCAATCATGGAAAACAGAGGCAGTCCTAATTTTCCTCAAGAAACCACAACAAACAGAGACGAATATGAACACAGGTTTAATTAAACAGGAAAAAATAATCAGAGGACGATAGTTAAATGATACTTTAGATGAATGATATTCGAATCTTCAATCAGTTTATAAATGAAGAGAGAAAGTATGTGCCCCATATAGTTTTAGATTACACAAGAAATCCTCCATAGGGTGCTTCAAAACTTGCCAAAAATCTATGACTTTCCAAAACTTTCCAGCTTTCTACACAAGTTTCACAAGGGGTTGGGGGAATCCCTTACCGTTTCTGAAAAGGTTAAGAATACTTCATTTACGTCACAAGGTTACAGTGATACATGTTTGCAAAAGAGAGAAACATAAATATGAAGCGAAGACCTGAAAAAGCGTCAGAATAGATATGAAGAAAATACACCATTGAAATCAAATAAAATCCAGAGTCACAAACTAGATTTTTTCCTACGACCTACTGTATCAGAGAGAGGTAATATCTTCATTGGACGACAACTTCCAGTCCTTAGTGTAAGGTATGTACCAAAGAATAGGATGCAGCGATAAAATAATTGTTTCATTTCCTCACAAATGCATTCAACACAGCTAATACCATAAGAAATATAGAGTGCTAGACCATGTGGAACTGAGAATATAATTCAGTCGTAAGTTTTATAGAACAATTCAAACTAGTATTTCATTTTTAAATTGATAGAGTAATATCATTTCGTGAACAAGAAGACTTTCCCAGACTGTAAAAGGAAATAGGAGGATCATCTAAAGAGAGAATTAGGATCCTATGTAATGCTATGAAAATTACGCATGATGCCATGATCATGCCTTTTTAATGAGAACATTTATGTGTCAAGAAAAAAAAATGAAATGATTCTCCCATTTCAATTAGCTACGAGAGAAATTATGAGAAATGTATGGCGAAGATGAGCATAGACCCCAGTATGGAATCTTATCACACGGTGCTATATTATCAAATGCTAGCTAAATAGCAATATAATGGAGAATACTTTTACCTGAAAATGCATAATTGTCGACTTCACAGCCCTGGTATTGAAGTTGAAGCGGTAGAAGATACTATTCTTCTCTACTGGACTACATTCCTGCATAAGATTTCCCATTAGGACTTATCCTTCCGCTCTAACTTACACTCAAATGTGAATGGAGAAAAAGAATAGGCTAAATGGGGGGAAATATACATCATATATATAACGAAGTCAGTAACGAAGAGCCTTTGAAGTGTGAGGAAAATTAACAGTAATAAGTACAGCATACAACAAACATGCAAGCCATTACAATCGCTTAATGGAAGCAATGATATCTTCGCGGAATAAAATAAAACTATAATAAAGAGTTTCCTATTATTTAGAAAGAGGAAGAAATCGCTACAACAATAATTCACGATGACAAGAAAAGTTGAAAAGTTTCTTAGCATTGAATGAAGAGGCACAGAGATGATAAGATATGGATCATAAAGAAGTGTGTAGACAACTCAAATGGTAAAGAGTTACCATCCAGTCATTGAACATCATATAAATCTCTTAAATCAATAAAACTGACGTTCCTTCATAATATCTAGGGAATAAGCGACACTAAACCCTTGGAACCCAAAAACAAGATAAAAAAAATTTGGCAATCCACCTTCTCTAGCTCTGCACGTGAGTGAAGTACACTCTCGTAGTTCTTATACTGTTTCAGCCTTGTCTCACGGCAGATGTCTCTGGTGCAGTTCATCCTATCCCAAAGGATCCCTTGAATATCTTTTCCATTTCTAAATTCGAGGGCAGAGGTATCAGTATTTGGTTTAGCCTGGATAACCCAAAAGGAAGAGGTGAATTATAAATAAACGTCATGTGCACTGGTCCGTAGTATCATATGTAGGGAATAACTTCTTGGAAGGGAAACGGCTGCAGAAAGAATAAACATACCACATCATCATTGCCGTAATCATCATCAGCCGGAGGATCATTTTCAAAGGAGTTATCGTACTCGAATTCGGACATGTTGAAAAAGTCAGCAGGCACATATTCCATGTCGTACTTCTGGTGATATGCCATTGCGTAAAACAGAAAACAATCAGTCAAATCAACAAAAATAATCAACTAAGAGGAGATCAGCTAACGCATAGAATGAAATGGAGTTAAATCAACAAACGAACCTAAGGCTATGGAAACCACAGAGAAGAGGATACAAAACAACCAAAAAAAAATGACCTTTGGGTGTTGACGTCCAATCAGAACCCTTAAGAATCAAAGAACAGAGTGTACGAAACCAGCAAACGAAATGGGCCGGAAAAGTTGATGCTTGTGAATTATAAACTAGGATCTGTCGCATTATATTTTGTACCCAAATAACACATAAATCGAGAAATCATTTCCTTCGCATGATGACGTGTGGAGCCAATCCGCCTCATAGAATTGAAAAGCAGAAATGGGCTCGTTGATCTCCAGATCAAAAAAAAATTATGAAGACAGAAAGGAAAAAGAGATCATAGAAATCTTGTGCAAAATCAACTCATAGAAGTATGAACGGATTGTTGTCGCGATTGGTCTATAATACAACAGATTCGTATATGCTACGTGAAGTCCGGAACAGGATGAACCAGAATCGACAAACGGTTCCACCCCGAGATCGGGGGCGATAGAATTCGAGGAATTGATGAAAAAAACATATCGATTACAATCGTGCGTTAAACATAGGAGCTCCCAGCGAGGAAACCAAAACGGAGGAATCGTGGAGGATTAAGCTATGCGTGCATTAAAACATGGAACCTTATCACGAGAGAAGGAAAAACTGAGGAATCGTAGACAATTAAAACTAATCATGAGAAACACAGAGAAAAAACCCAAGAGCGCAGTATCAATGCCAAAAAGAAAGAAAAATTCATAGCCGTAAACACAAAGGCAACTCCACAATAACACAAATGGAGGCAATAAATGGAAAACAAGAATACACGGCGTCAGGATTCTTAGATCCAAAAATAAAAATGAAATTGAAAAACAGATGTTCCCCACAATCGGCAAAGTCGAAGCAACGACGTCCCCCACAACGTCGGCAAAGCTGAAAAACAGATGCATCAGAGGAGGAGAGAGGAAGATAACCACCAACCCTCCCGAGGCACGCCGCCGCTAATCGAACGAATGGGCGAAGGCACAACGAAAGAGCCGCAGCGACGGGAGAGGAGGAGATGGGTTGCACCGGAAGAGAGAGCGGAAAGGGGGAGATGAGAAAACAACAATGGGAGTGGAAGCCAAAGGAGAGCGGCGGTGCAGGAAGACCCGGTGAACGTCAACAGTGGCCAGTAACTAAGATCATTGGGCCCGGAGCCGCCTTTGTGGGTCCCATGAACAGGAGAAGATTCCAGATGTGGGTCCCACTTGGCGTGCCGCCGCCCCCAAAGTTGCAAGTAAACACAGGGACGACAAGGTACGGCAGACGCTTGTGGGGCCCGCACATATACCACCCACCCCCACGTTCTCGATATCTGACCATCCACGTGGATTTCTGTAGGTCCAGATGAAATGACAAGCTGATTTGCGCGGGGAACGGGCCCATAGGGAAGAGGGAGGAGACTGAAGATAATATGCATAGCGCGGAAAGTCGACTGGTCCCGAACGATAGATGCTGACCTCTGAATAAAATAATGAAAATAAAAGAGTTGATTTGGTGAGCATGAGGTTGTCTCATGAAAAAATTACATGGTAAAATCCCTCTCTCCTCTTTTTCTCTATTAGATTTGATCAAACCCATACATAGATTTATGGGGGGGCATGCCCAAAGACTAGTTTATGGAATTTGTATCCTAGATCATGTCAAGATGAATATGTAAAATAGTAGTATGGGGGGCAATTTACGTCCCCATCAAGAGTATATCCCTTCTTAAGTATTTTATTTAGTATTCTCTTATAAGATAAATCTTTTTAGCATGTAAGGCCAATGATATCCAGCCAATTGCATCAAATGACTGATGATTGGAGGTTAACATCACATATAATTGTAATAAGAAAGATCTTATGCCACTATAGACTTCACTTCAATCCCAAGGTAATGATTGGTCGTCTCATTGTAAAGGACTCAGTTTCATGTAGTACTTCATCATCTCAATTCTACAAATCGTATAACTTGGACTAAAATTAAGAATGATAGTATAATAATTAAAGATGTGTTACATAGTGCTGGACTACAGCATGATTTGGTAAATATAAGTCAGCTAATGCTTCGAATTCAGAGGTGACATTCAATCCCACTTGTTACAAAAATATCAGTCTATGTCACCAAAGGTAATCTAAGTGGCCAAACTAGAGAAGTTTCTTCTTCTTCTTGGAAGATAATGATGCAACTCAGCTAATGGGTCGTGAGGAATCCTTATTTTCTGGTGGAGAATCGTTCGTTTTTCCTTGTTCTTTCCTTATTTTCCATAGTGGTTGCCGTTCATTTTCCATCGCGATGTTCCGTCTATTTTTTTCTCATTTGTTCCTCGTTTTCCGTTGGATATTTCTTGTTTGTTTTTTGTGGCAATCCTCCGTCTATTTTTCCTCATTCGTCCATTGTTTTTCGTCACGATTTTTTTTCTATTTCTTTCTTGTCTGTCCGTAGATTTCGGTTGTCCTTTTCTACTCTTTCTTTCTCATTTTTTCTTTGATTCTTCATCGAAACCTTCCATCCGGTTCCTCTAGGTCATTCGTGGGTTCTCACCGTTCGTCCATGGTTTTTCGATCACGTTCGTCCGTTGTTTTTTGCAACGTTCGTCTGTTATTTTTCGCCGTTCGTCCGTCACTCGAGAGATAGAGAGAGAATTTAATATCACAATAATTTGTAAACAGTGAGAGATACATCTATATATTTCGGCCGAGAGTATCTTCTTTTCAGATCTTTATCGGGCCAATAAATGGATTGAAAATAAAGCAGATGGATCGATCTGTTTAAACATAAAGTTTGGATCGTGTTAAAAAAAATTATTTAGCTTAAGTTTTCGAGTATCTTTTTAATGAGACCCGTTTAGCTTATACAGAGGATTTCGATGAAAACCCACCTAGCCATTCCATTCTAGAGGTTCGAACCCATTGAGTTGCTAGCTTACTGATCATCAAATCGCGTCAAAATGTTAACCCCAAAATCATTTAGATACAGCCGTTAGACTAAAATATTTTACGGGCATTGATCTGTCTTGCGCGCTGAAAAATCGTTCTAAAATCAGCAGCACTGGTCTAATCAAGTACTGTACATTCATTTCAATCTTCCTAGAGTCTCAACTTTAAATATTTTCTCTGAAGTCAGTACATTTTTTCTATGGTCGGACAGGAAATCTCAATGCCTCTCTATCAAAATTTTCGAACCTCTGTCCAACCCAAATCAACCAACAAAATTTCAAACCAGCCGTGCACTTTGCTGAATATCTGTTTTTTATCCAATGTTATAGCTGATTATCAAAACTGAGTCTCCTCTTCAACTCTGAAATGAAAATGCTTAAAAATTCAAGGACTTCATTGAGTTAAAAATTTCTTTCCCTTAGGCCTCAAAACCAATGAGGACTTGTACTTGCAAAGGTTAAATGAGATTTTTTTCCAAATTTCACTCTGATCTCCAGTGACTGAGATCAACTTCACCCATAAATTTTTCCGGCTGCCAAATGAATCAAAATGATCATATGAGAGCCCAGATTCATCATGTTTCCACTTCTGAAGATGAGAGTTACATATCATCTAGTAGAAACGAATTTAAGAAGATAGTCATACATTTGAATCAAATCAAAGTAAATATATCTTACAGCCAAAGGCCTCTCCCAATTTTTTTAAACATTATTACACCAGTTGATACAAGTATTCCATCATTTGACATTTCAGCATATCTAGATCTTATTTCTGGTCTTTCCAAAGCTACTCTTGAAAAGTTTCGTACATCTCAGTTATCTTTACTTCTGAGGATATTTCACCATATATCTATATCTTTCTTCTTCATACAAGAAGTTTTCGTATGATCATCCAAGTGCAGCTCTTCATCTTTTATCAAATCATGACAAAAGGAAAGATCCACCTTGGCTAATCTATGATGAAAAGGATAAAATAAGTCAAAGAGTCTTCAGCTTTTAACTTCATGCTTATAACACTAATTCTCCTACAGTACATAGTCAAATTTTCAGGAAAAATCATATATGGCATATAGAAGATTGATTTCATTGAGAAGAAACTTGATCGATTACTTCCCAAGTAAAGCACGTGTGATCAATAGTTATTGACTCCCACAATATTTTCAATGAATAACTATCACTTTGTAGCCTGTGCTTGAACAAAAATGAGAGCAAGCATCAGTTTGAGAGAAGCAATATGCAGACAGGGGATGACGGTCACTGCGTTCCCGAGTTTCTCTGATGTTGATCAAAAGGGGGAGAAAGAAAAATATAAAATAAACATAGGAAAAGAAAATGTTGAAAAACTTTTGAGACAAGGGAGAGAAGAAGAATATAAGTGCGGAAAGGGAGAGAAGAAAGTAAGAGAGACAGGAGAGCAACAAATCTGAAATAAAGGGGGAGAAAAGCAAACGCCTGTGTTGTTCGATTGTGAGATACCTATGCTCCAAACTGTGCCTTATGCTTGTGCTCTGAACCGTTGATGTATTCAACGTTTTCGTATTCTCTGAATTGCAATTATTTCATATATTTCATGCTCTGAACCTCTTATGAAGCTTACATGAAAGTTTCAAATTTCAGATACATCACCCTTGCGTAAGCCTTATATATACTCTAAACCTAGCGCAAATTTGCATGACATATGTAGAAGTAGAAATGTTAGTTTCTGATTTTCTGTTGTGAGTGAAATCATGAAATGAGTCTTAACTATAATTTAAGAATTTTTTTCTCTGCTACTATGATAAAAAAAATCAGAAACACAGAAGTAATTCCCATGGAAAATCGATCAGAAACTTATGGAAATAAAGATAATTCGAGGGCTTTGCACATTATTAGTGACATACACCTACAGGAAAACCCTGATATAATCAGTGTCATGCCTTTAGACCAAATTCCAATCAAAATATTCAATTAACAGAGATTAAATTCTAA